CTTGTCCCCTTCCACTCTTTGACCAGGGCCTCTCACTTACTCCTTCACGTTCACAGTCCTGTTTTTGTCAGAAGCTGTCACTCGGCTGTCACTCGCATTCTCTGTCCCCTCTGAGCCCCTGGAGCTTTGAGAATCCCGCCTTACCTTCTGAGAGGCGAAGGATTTAGGTTGCTTCAGGGACACAAGAATAGACTTACTAGCCAAGCTAAGACCCAGGCCCAGCTGTCCCTTCCTCAGAAGAGGGACTTCAGAGGTTAGATAAACAAAAGCTTGTCCTGAATGCTGAAAAGGTGTCACTTTAACCAAAGGGGAACTCTCCAAATTAGGCTTGTAAGGAGACAAACTCAGTTCACCCATGTGGCCCATACTTCTGCCCCAATTCACAAGCTTGTAGGCATAGGTAAAAATACACTGGGAAACCAGCATTAAACCTCAAACAATGAGGAACATCTCAGCCTCATCAGTGAGGAAAACAGCTCTACTGTAGCTTAAGTGCAAGTATACTAGTGAGTTATCCGTGCAAGGGGTTATAAATCACCACTCTTTGGCTTTACTAAGCCAATTAAGAGTTCAGTGAGTCCTCTAGTGGGAAGACCAAGACTCTCCGTACCCAGACAAATGTGGGTAGGGTTTTTAAAGTCAAAAGGCTGTAATCATATCATACCTGGTATAGGCTATGGGTCTTTACAATGTACCCTTTGATCTTGTTAAAAGTCACACAAGACTATCCATCTAGAGCAGCGGCTCTCCACCTGTGAGGTGAGACCCTTTGGGTGTCAAATGACCCTTTCACAGGGGTCACCTAAGACCATCAGAAAACACAGATATTTACATTGCCATTCATAACAGTAGCAAGATTACAGTTATAACATAGCAACAAAATAATGCTATGGTTGGGGGTTACCACAACATGAGGAACAGTATTGAAGGGTCACAGCGTTAGGGAGGTTGAGAACCATTGCTCTAGAGGAACAAAACTGTTTTTCCATATCAGGACCCTTTCTCGGCATAGAGGGAGGTCCTTTTGGTGTTCTCCTCCTTTACCAAGAGGAGAGAGAAGCTATTTGGGGGGGGAGGGGCAGGCATATGTGGCTCCCAAATCAGGGAGGTTGAGGAGTCAAGGGCAACCTGACCTTCCTTAAGTTAGTCACCAGCATATTGATGACTGATCTCTGGGCTCACGCAAGAAGCAATAATAGACTCATAGTCCCGGTGCCAATTCTGATACAGGTCTTGGGATCAAGAGTCCCTGGCCCTCAGGTTTCCCATCTGCAGCAATGAGGTAACAGTGTCTATGCCTGGGATCCCTGTAGCAATACATTAGATCATGATAGAGGATCCTAGCAAAGCACTTGGGATGGTATGAAGGCAAAAAAAAATTCTTCACTCTTTCTTTCCCTTTTTAAACGCATCTCTAGTCACCCTGCCGTTGGGGCCTCCCTGAGATCTAGGTTGCTGGGTTTGGGGAAAGTCTGACTGAGATAAAAAATATCTTAAACAGGGGGTCCCTTTAGCCGCTACCAGAGAAGCAGCTCCAAATTTTAGCTCTAGACAAAGAAGAATTCCTGCTTTTGAAAATGTCTCCTGCCTAGCATCTGCTCTGGGAGTAGACTCTTGACTTCTTTGCCAAGGTGACCCTCTCCTAGGTTTTTCCTTCCAGGTGTGCATGCTCTCACACCTGGCTTCCAGCTAAGCACAAAGTTAAAGGTATACACACATCTCCCTGCTTCCAAGCTGACTGATCCCAAAATGATTGGTGGCCCTGGCACCTGGTCCTCCATAACAAAAGGAAAGTCACTTCACTCACCCAGGGGAGGGTAGCACCCCAGCTGAGCCTAGGAAAAGAAGACCAGGTCTTGCTTGTCTAGAGTCAAGGACAAGAACAAGAATAAAAAATGACCACCACAAGATTGGGCTCCTAAAAGTGGAAAATATTTGACCTTCCCCCCTGTGACTGCACCCAGGACCTGCACAGGGGGGCAGGTTCTAGGTCTCTTAGGACTTGGCCCCACCCATCCCAACTGTTACATAAAAGATAGGGCTCCCAGTCAGTTGCTCTTGCTTAGGAGTTTCTTGTCACTCAGATGGCACCTGATCACCCCTTGGCTAAGACTCCACTCCAGGGGTTTATCATTGACTTGGTAAGAAAGCTCAGGCCATTAACCCCAGTAAAAAAAAAAAAAAAAAACCTTTATTTGCCATCTGACACCCTTGTCTGTCCCCACCCCTGGCCCTCATTCTTCCAAAGAACTAAAGAAACAAAATACCTTTATCTCCACAAGGAAATAAAAGAGTTTCTAGATGGGAAATTCCCTCAAGGAAAAGAAATAACCAAGATAAACAAGCATATTGCCTTTGGCTCTCTAGTGAAGGAAGTCTCTGGGAACCAGGAGTTAGGGACAAGCAAGACTTAATGCCCAGGCTGCCTCCTGCTTACGGCTACCTTATCTTTATGGGCTCTTGTTATTGCCTAGGGTCGATTATCACTGTTGTTCTCCTTCAAAAGCTCCATCAAATCCATTCCACGGTTTAAAGCCAGGCAAAGTCCTCCAAGTCTGTTGGTAGGCGGCCTCCTCTCTCCTTTCTTCTCTCTTGGTCTAGGCAGTAGCATCTAGGGCGCCCATTTGGTTTGGACAGTGTAGAAGTCCACAAGCGCTGCCCGAATGCTCTTTCTTTTGTCTGACAGAGCTCACCAGGTAGGAAAGAAGATAGCATCCATGTTTTTGTCTGATCCCGAAATGGAGTCACAGGAAGCCTTGGGCATGACTCGTCACCTCCAGCTCTTAATTTTTCTCGTGATTATGTGTCTTTCTATCTGTCTTATTTCAAGGGTACTTATAAAACTCAAATGAAAAAATGTCAGGTCCCAAAGGAAACTCCAGTTCCCCCCAAACTGCCAAATGCAGTACAAATATCCAGAAATGGGCTGTAGGAGGGTTTCCTGGTAGTTGAATAAAAGCAGGCATTCCTGGGGCATTTTCGAAGCTGGTTCCCCTCTACCAAAAAGGAAGGGACCTCTGACAAAAGGTATCTATCTACTAGCATATCAAAGCCCATGCTGGCCTCCAGGCTCAGTCATTATCTCAAGTCCCCATTACACATTCCAAATCCCACAGTGGGCATCCTAGCCCTTCGTCTCCTCCCCTACCCTAAACTCCCTCCAGTTTATAGGCTTCCCCCCCCCCAGCTATTCTTCTCCTTATAACTCTGCTATCCTCCCTTGTTTTAAATTTTCTCTCTTTGTGCAGCTCTCGGCTGCTGCTTCCGTCCCTATATTTTCTCTATTTTCTCTCCCTGCTACTCCCTCTTATAGATAGGATACTATCCTCTCTCATAGATAAGCCTGGCCATGTCCTGACTGCTGGCCGTGTCCACTCTATTTTCTTCTCTCTCTGTTCTGGACTCTTCCAAATGCCTCTCTCTCTCTGCAACCACCGCCCCCACTTCTCACCCTCATGTCTACAATAAAAAAAAAAAAAAAAAAAAAAAAAAAAAAAAAACCTTCTTAGCCAGGCAGTGGTGCTGAACGCCTTTAATCCCAGCACTCAGGAGGCAGAGGCAGGCAGATCTCTGTGAGTTCACCATGGTCTATAGAGTGAGTTCCAGGACATCTAGGGCTACACAGAGAAACCCTGTCTCAAACAAAATAAAAAACAAATAAAAATCGAACAAACAAAAGGAACTTCTTCTTAACCATTCCATGGGGGGGGGGGGGGATCGCTTCGTCAGTTCATACAAACAATATCAAACACAGTCTTTGACCAACAAAAGGCATTGTAGCATCCAGTGTTAGCATACCATCAGTGTCTTGGATGCAGCGGAGAGGTTGAGGGCATAGACAAGCCAGGGCTTAGATTCTCCCCCACCTCACACTGCCCATCTCACAGTTAACAGTTGTGCGGCATTTGCAAGTTTTTGTACGCCTTTACAAACACCAGAATTGCTAAACTCCTTCATTCTGTCAGTTTACTCACCACCACCACCCAAAAAAAAAACATGTCAGCCTCCTCCACCTTCAGGGAAATGGGGCCATGTTATAATGTGCTACAGTGATATTTTGTCTATGAGCTAACAAATACAGCTTGCCTGAAGATCAGAGTACAAAGCTAGCCACACTGCCTGTTTCTAGGATCCCAGTTAGCCATAAAGGATAGGCAGCGGTGACAGAGGCACTCGGAAGACAGAGGCAGACCCATCTCTGTTAGTTCAAGGCCAGCCTGGGCTGCACAAAATTGATCCAGTCTAAAAGGGAAACAGTGTTCACACAGAGGTGATCCCAGCACTTGGAGTGACACGCCTTTAATCCCAGCACTGAGGAGGTGGAGACAGGATGGCCTATGGCTGGGTAGAGAGAGGAATATAAGACGGGAGGAGACAGGAGCTCATGGCAATCAAAGCATTTCTGAGGCAGAAGTCTAGGCAGTCAGTCTGAGGATTTGTAGAGACAGATGCAGTCTGAGGATGCAGTTTGAGGTTTCCTAGAGACAGCTTTCAGTCTGAGGATTCGTGGAGAAAGGATCTCTCATTCGGTCTGAGGTAGAGGTAAGAGCTAGTGGCTGGCTGCTCTGCTTCTCTGATCTTTCAGCTTTCAACCCCTACTATCTGACTCCGGGTTTTAGTTATTAAGACCTATTAGAATTTGTGCCACAGTGTTCCCAATACTGTGTCCTGGGTGATGACAAAGAAATGCCATCAATATCACTATCCCAAAGAAACTTAGGTAAGAAATAAAGCGCCTTATGACTATCGAAGAACGCCTATTGTTTGCCGAAGACAGTCTTTGATATTTTTAATATAAACTGACTACATGGCTTCTTCGCGGTATAATTAAAAGGAAGCTTTATATTATAGATAAGAGAGAAAGACGGAGAGCCGGGGGGGGGCAAGAATTGGGAGTTCCTAGCAAAGGAAGATGCCATGCGTACATTCATTTATTAACTCAACAGGAGTTGCACAGTCTCTGGAGACAGGAAGCAAATAGGTGTTACGGAGGAGCGTCTTTCATTTGGTTGTTATCTTCCAGCCCTCACACAAGAAGTCAACCTGAATGGCACAGCCCCCTTGGAAGCCACCAGCAATGAGGTTCTTCGTAGCCACCACTCTCCTGGTCATCCTCCCAGGTGGGTCTGTTGCCCCAACTCCCCAGATCAAGCTCTTTTCTCCTAGACTCCTCGATTCTAGGATCCCAGCTCCACGGAGTCACGGACATCGGAGCCACCCCCAGCAATGTCCCTGTCAACATGTGTACCCCTACGAGACACAATCACACAAGAGGCAATTCAGAAAAGGCGTGTCTAAAAGTGGGTTTTGATGATCACTGGAAATCAGAGACAGGGAGGGAAAGTCCTGATTTTTAAGACGAAGAGTCTGATAGAAGGTCCTCTCTGAAGACTTAGGGAAAAAAAAAAAAGACTTTGACCTTAAATCAAACATCTTTTCTGAATCATGTAATTTGGGGGAAATAAACTAAATTAACTACTTTTCCTCACCCTTAATGGTTTTAGTTTAGTAATGTTTTAGTTTAATAAAAAAAAAAATGGAGAAGAAGAAAAAGGAAATAATCGATAGTAAAAACATAACATCCTGAAAAGTAGTGTTAAGATACCATTAGCTTGTCATTCATTGTCCTTAAAAAATACTATTGTTAATGGGTTACTGTTGTGAAATACAAGAACAATGGGAAAAGACTACAGATTCGATTCAGATCTTAATTAGCCAAATTTATTGTTTTTATAACAGGACAGCTAATCTCTAAGCCAAATAAGAAATATGCTGTACCTGAGTAGATGGGGGAACAGATTTTAAAAGCAAACACCACAATTAATCCACTTCTGCGGAATTTACAACTACTGAAGAACCCCTACCCCAGACATGAAGAACTGTTTCACCCCCCCCCCCCAACAGCAACAGGAGAAACTGCCATTGCCCCTGCTGACAGTGATAAGCATATTTACAGAAGCCAGAACAAGCTGTTAACAATTTCACAACAGTTGCACAATTTAGGGGAGGGGACAAAGGCTCAGAGCTTTTAGGAATTTAGGTCAGAGACCAACAGCTACCAAAGTAGAATTTTCTTAGCCACCACATTCCCCATAAAGATCATATGAATCAAACCGTTGCTTTCTGCACAATCATCGGTTTAAATAGAATTCATTCTTTTTAAGTGTCCATTATCAACCAGTTTAAAGTTCGAAGGCTGACCATATGCCAAGGAATGGTAAAAGATAGGTCTAGCTACGGCGGTCAAAGGGTGGTAAGCCATGGGAAGAGAAAATGGATGGAAACCAGTTAGAGGCTTCATCACACTCTGCTCTTGAACCTAAGCTTTTCTGGACTGTGTTTAATGTTTCTAATATAACTCCCTGGTTGTTGGCATAAAAACAGCATTTTCCACACCCAGACAGCACAAATCTCATCCCTGGTGGTTTTGTAAAAACCATTTCTGCTAGGGAACATACTTGCTTTTCAAGTTGTCCTATAGAATCATTGAGGTGTTGTGTGTCCTGGCCTACTTTGTTGTTTAGTTTTGAAAGTCTGATCTTGAATAATTAAAGCTGATGTTTCCCAAGGCAGCGATCCCTGTTGTCACTAGGAGGGGGTATAAGCCGAGTTACTATTCTTTTTCTTCTAACTAGGCCCTAGCCCTCATAGTGGGAGCGTCCTTTATATACTGCTGTCTACTGTCCTCTCTAGTATACATATCTACTTGGGGAAGGGTACAAGCTAGAATACAGAGATTGTGTAGAGCTTTGCTGCTACACAACTATTGAGGCCAAATGTGCGGGCCTACGGTGTCCTTAAAGGAGCCAGAAATTATATTCTAATATATTCAGACTTACTGGTATACATATGAGGACTATAGGACATAAAGGGAAGCTGAATGATTATAAATTGAAGAGATTAAACAAGTACTTGTTTCTTGGAGGTCTCCTAGGGTGCGCTTACTTTTCTCTGGTTCATAATTTAAATTCTCGGATGGGCTAGTAATTGGGGTAATAGAGAGACTGACCCCTATTCTCACATAAAAAGGAAGCCCAGCGTTGAGGCAAAGTCAATATTCATTTCCAAGGTTAGGGAGGGTATGATTTAATCAAACTGTGTAGTAACATTAAGATCTCAAGCTCAGGGACATCATCGGGAAATGGAGTGAGTCTATTGCTACCATATACAGCTCGGTTGAGATTGAAGTCTGACTTATCACCATGGGTGGAGTGGAGTGGTCCAAGGAGGGAGAAGGACAGGAAGGCACATTCTAATCTTTGGTTAAGGCATCCAAATGGGCCGGGGGGGGGGGGGCACTAAGCCTAACCCTAACCCTTTCTCGTATAGGGAACTCCACAGCCCATTTAAAATTGAAATTCTTGATGTTGAGTTGGAAACCCCAGGACTTGTAAGCCAGGTCTGTGTGCTCAGTTAGTTCCAGGGTTGGGGGGGAGTTCTCACTCCAAAAAGAGGTATGGTCTAGGTGCCCAGAATCCCTTATTCAGACAAACTCAGCCTCACCGTTTGGGTCAGAACAATGATAATCTCGTTGTTGCTGATGTTGATATATTGGCTCATCATCAGCTAGACATATATGAAAAGGGGTTTCATTTATCACATGCTGGGAATGACAGTGACATCGCTTCCAATATATTGCATCTTGGAAATGAGAGATCCCAATCTTTTTCATCCCTGGAGCAGAGAATCCTTGAAGAGGATTAGACCAAATCTAAACACAGGCTGGGAGGCAACATTTTGTAGAACAGGTATTATTTTTCTATTGTCTGACCATGGATATAAGATGCATGGTTCCCATGACAACTCCCAACCCCAAACCTTAACATTTTCAGTGGCTCAAGCATAAAAGATACCTGTCAAGATTCCCAACATCATCATCAGTCTAAGTCCGAGATGCTGATGAACCGCACCTTTTGGTGCCGCTGGTCATCTCCCATTACTCTCCATTTTCACCTTTGTTTTGACCAGTCATGTCTACTTTAAAATGGGAATGGTGGGTCTAAGCCTCAGTCCCCGCTATCTTGATGACCATGGATGTTGTCAGGATTACTGGCTACAGCCCCTTTCAGGAAAGTTCCAGGGTTCTGCTGGGCAGGCAATGGACCCATACCAAGTCCCCAGGTTGGAATCTCTGCTTCTGTTCAGTCAAAAGCAGAGTTAGCGGTGGGGGTGATAGATGATTGGGGACGTCTCAGATGGTCTGCTGCAATGCCTGATAGGACTTAAGGAAGGAATCATGAGACATTTCAATAGTCTGTGGCCTTCCCTTTGCAGGAGTAAGTGGGAGTTGCTGCTAGGCATTATTTCAAATGGTATAGCTTGCCTGGTAGGGATCACCTGGTTCTAAAAAGAACAGTATGGGGCAGCTCTATCCACTCCTTGCCAATTCCTGCCCAGAATTAAATCGGTATCCCTTTAATAGTCCTGTTAACTCTTCCTACCTGTCCTGAGCTCTGGGACTTATAGGTGCAACGTAATTTCCAATGTATTCCTAGAGTTTTAGCGGCTTGCAGAGAGACTTTGGCCATGAAGTCAGCCCATTGTCAGACCCCAAAGAAGAGAGGAGGCCAACCCTGGGAATAATCTCCATCAGTAACTTTTTTTAGTAACTACATTGGCTGTTTCTGACCTTGCAGGAAAGTAGTCTATCCTGAAAAATAAATAAATCTATGAAAGCTAGCAAATGCAAGTAACTAAACCTTGTCGGGGTGACTTCAGTACAGTCCAATTCCCAGTGTTTGTGGGACTAAGTCCCTTCCTTGAACACTCATAGGGATGTGTTTTATTCCCCTTGGGTTCACGTGGGTGCAGATGGCATAGTGGCAGCTAACTTGCTCAACTCTTTCATCGGGGTGGCATAGAAAGTACCTGTCCCTGATTGAGTCTTTTAGTTTGGTCCATCTCAAGTCACCCTGATGGATTTGTGAGAGAAGGGATGAACGCCAAGACTTCTGGTAGGATGGGGCATCTGTCTGGAAGCATCCACCAGGCCTCTGTGTCAGTGGGCCCCTACTGTGTGGCCCATGGAGGGCCACATGTTTGAGGTGGCCCCACTGGGCTCTGTGGCTGCCCTTCCTGCTGAGACATCAGCAAATCTGATGCCTCGGGTTTCTACCAAATCCCCTTTGTGGTGTTCCACACAACGGATAACAGCAAGCTTCTCTGACAGCCAAAAGGCTGCTAAGAGAGCAAAGAACTCCTCCTTGTTTTCGATCTTCTTTTCTGTAGAGGTCAGCAGGCAAGGCACCAGGGACACGTGCAGTGACAAAGGCATAATAGCTGTGGACACAGATGTTGACAGCTCAACCATTTCCCCATCTCAGTGCCGGAGTCAAGGCTATCGGTCCTGCCTTTTGGGCCGATGTCCTTTGTGCCCAGGTTACCTTTGTGAGTGTCACTACAGCCACTCCTGCAAACCTGAACCTGCCTTGTACGTAACGGCTTCCAATGGTGAATAAGGTCACATCTGCCTTCCCAAGGGGCTGGTGTCGGGGTCCAGTTGTCTATATTGCAGGTGGTCAATGATGCAGGCACGGGCATGGGCTGGTTGTCCTTCGGGATCATTCAGGAGGGATTCTGGGTTTCACATAGCAGACGGTGAGAATTTGATCCTTGAACAATAGTGTTGGGGCAGGCAGTGGCCCAGATGCTACCTGGCCATGCTACTGCAACAGGGTCTATGCATTCAGACAAGCACTCCTTGTCTAGGGCCCCAAAGTTTGAGTCAGCATTCCTTTTATCACCCTATTGTTCATCCACAAGTGGAAGTGGTTGTCGGTGTCAGGTGCCGGAGAGCTAGGGCGGGCATCAAGTCCTCCTTGAGCCTTTGGAATGCCTCCTTTTCTGTGTCCTCCCAGCTCACAGGGCCACTTCCTCCCAGGCTCTAAAGTAACAGTTCTGCTATTCCTTCAACACTGGGTATCCACGGTCTGTAGTATCCAACTGTACCCAAGAATTCTCTCAACTGCCTTTTACCTTGTGGCTCAGGAATATTCAGAATAGCTTGGCTCAGCTTGAGGACCGGGTCCTCCTGTTGGATGTCCCCCCTTCCTTCTTGCCTACAATTAGGAGGTTTATTTTTTTCTAATATCCTTTTTTTCTACAGTTTGCACACTGATTCTTCTCCAACATGGATGGGAGCAGATTTGGCCCCCTGGGGTACTTCTGGTTTTTAATTAGTCTCTTTGAACATGGTCATATTATTATCTGGCCAGTCTTTCTTCTCATTTGGATCTCTATTGTTAAGTTTTCTGAGCTATTCCTAACAACCGTGATCTATTCATTCCCTCGAACCCTTTTAATTTCTGTAACTTCCTGCGAGTATTTGGGAATGGCTGGTGACAAAGGCAATATTACTAACCTGCTAGTTTTCTGGGAGCATCCAGATCTATGGAGGTAAATTCCGGGTAATTTTCCCTGAGGTGCTCCAAGAATCCAGCAGGAAATTCATGATGTCCCTGAATTACCTCAGATACTTTTGAGTGATTAGTTGGGACCGCTGCTCTGATTGCAGTGACAAGGCCCACCAATAGGTGTCTAGTGCTGCCTTAACCTTGGTCAATGTTGGGATCCCAGCTTGGTAAAGCTGAGGGCAATATTCGCTCAATCCTTTCTTCTGCATTTGCAGTGGTTACCCCGAACCCATCACAGCCTTCCTGGCTGCAGTCATGATCATATCTTCCTCCTAAGCAGTAGAAAGGGCCCCTAGAAACTGCCCACAATCAGCCAAGATGTGTTGGAAGGTAAAGAAAATAGAGTCCAACAGGCTGAGGAGGGCCTGAGGCATCTCAGAGAAGGGAGGGTTCTAAGTCCTCCAGTTATTCAGGAGACTGGTCAAGAGAAGGAGGTCTGGGCCTCTCATCCCCATAAATTCTTGTGGCTGTGGGGGTGGGAAGCCACTAGGGGCTTCCTCTCTAAGAGAGAGAACAGCTAGGGTAGAGCAGAATCTAGCCTACCTACTCCAAGTGTGTGAAGGTGAGGGCAAGTCAGGATAAATTATGGGGCCCCTCTCATGCACTGGACTGGCTGGATGCATAGGCTATAAAGCGGGGGAAATCCATCACCTTTACATGGGCCAGTACAGAGAGTCCAGGCATTTTACGTAGGTTCCTATTTATTGACTTTGATTTATAGACTTGGTAACTAAAACAGAGGAACCTTGTTTAAGGGCACAACATTGCAGCCATGGAGAGGGCTCAACAAGGAGGGAGAACCAGAAATACATATAAGGGAAGTGCTGTGTGTGGCTAGGGTTCCCTGGGACCACTTCACAGACTCCTGGAAATATGAGGGTTGAAGGACCCTGCATCATCTGGCCATCCCACAGGAAAAGAGGGGTGTTCTAGTTCACAGAGAGTGCAGAGCTTCCAAGGTGACATCTTAACTCCATAGTCCGCCTCATGGAACTCTGGGAAGTATTGCATGCAGCTCAAGGGACACTTGAGCTGCATGCAATACTGTCAACATCTCCTTTTGGCCGCAAAACTTATAAGCATACCAGAAAGTACAAATCCACCAAATGCGAATAATGTAAAAAAAGACAAAACATTCATATAACCAGAGGAGGCAGACACACACATAGAGTGGCCACCTTCACACATAGAGTGGCCAAAAGCCACAGGGGTTCAGGAGGACATCTCCTCTATCCCTGGAGACTGAGTCTACAATCACATTAAATCTCACCCTCTGTGTCTCCCCAGGACTTCCCGAAACAGCTCCCTGAGTGTGCATTAGCCACTTGATTTGCAATTGCCAAACAATTTGTAATTGTTTCAATTTGCAGTCGTCACAGTCTGGGACAACCCACGGCCTCCAAGTCCACAAAACTACTTGCCCCCATCTAGGGCTGTTTGCTGCTGGGCCTCCCAGTTGTGGTATTTGCCCCCAACTAGGGCTGCCTCTGACTAATGATTCTTTAATTTGTGGCAGCCATGGTTTCTGATGCCCCTGAGTCTCCAAGTCTGCCTTAGACTTGCCCCCACTCGGGGCCTATCCTGGATCCCTATCCCTGAGTCTGGGGGTCCCCCAGGATCTTGCTGGGACCTCTAAAAATGTTGTGGAGTTTGAGACCCCTGGGAAAAGGTCACAGACTCAATCACAGATATAACTAGCCAAAACTATTATTTATGCTGGCAGGGCAGGTATCGCTAAGCCAAATCAGAAATGTGCCACACCTGAACAGATGGGGGAAAGGGTTTTAAAGGTGACCATCATAATTACTCTACTTCTGCAGAATTTATAGCTACACGAGAAACTGCCATTCCCCCGTCCACAGAGATAAGCATGTTTACAGAAGCCAGAACAAACTGTTAATCATTTCACAACAGTTGCACAAGTTAGGGGAGGGGACCAGGGGTCAGAGCTCTTAGAAATTCAGATCAGAGGCCAACAGCTCCTAAAGTGGATGCCTGATACAAAATGAAATGACTTACTTATCACATCACTATTAAAATGGAACCAAAGTATGATTAAGAAGCCATTTGATTTCATACAATTTTGTGTGGCTGTCGAATTATGTAAATAACTAGGGAATGCATATTAATTAGAAAACCATATTCCTCCTGATGAGCTATATGGATCATTTCATCCCATTTGGCCTCCCTCAGTTCTTAAAACTCTTGCCTTCTGTTCCCACAGCGGTCTTCACAAAAAGCCCCATATTTGGTCCCCAGGATGTGAGTAGTGTGGTAGGTACCTCGGTGTCCATCACATGCTACTATCCAGCCACCTCTGTCAACCGGCACAGCCGGAAGTACTGGTGCCGGCAAGGAGCCAGCGGCCTCTGCACAACCCTCATCTCTTCAAATGGCTACGTCTCCAAGGAGTATGCAGACAGAGCCCACCTCATCAACTTCCCAGAGAATAACACATTTATGATTAACATCGAGCAGCTCACTCAGAATGACACTGGGAGCTATAAATGTGGTCTGGGCACCAGTAACCGAGGCCTGTTCTTTGAAGTCAGCTTGGAGGTCAGCCAAGGTAAGAATCCAGGCTCCCTAGGATTCTGGGGGAAAACAGTTTCAATCAATTCAGGTACAATGCGAGCTTACCTGAGGAAGATACCTCTTAGAGAAGGGTATCCTCACATAAAGGCTAAAGTCTCCCTCCTAAGGCAAAGGCTCTTCATATCAACACATATGAAGCAAATCTGGGGGAAGTGGATGAAATTTCCTATGTCTTCTGGATCTCTAACAAGCATCTTAGGCTTAAATGGGTACCAGAAGGACAGCTTTTGTTGTGTGTGATAGAGTTGAGACATGATGTCTGTCAGGTCCAAAGGAAACTCCTTTTTCCCCAAATTCTGAAGAAAAGACAAAAGCCATCATTCCTCAGGAACTTGTGAAACCAGTTCTCTTCTGCTAAAGGAGCCATTTCCCTTACCACTGACAGAAGGACAAATGGCCATTTGAGGAGTCTATTAGCATACTGAAGCAAATTCTGGCTTCCAGGCTCCCTATCACAAGTACCTGTTCTACACTTCAAAGGGGTGGGCCAGGATGGCAGCACAGCTGTACTCTCCCTCATATCTACAATTAAAATCTTCTGCTTAACCTTACCTTGAAGCAGTGACGTCATCAGTTTATAGAACACCTATAGCACCCAATGAGGTAGAAAATACACCAAGAGAGTTTTTAAGAATCCTTACATTCCTACCACAATGTTCCTTTACATCAAGGCTTTCGGGCCACAGAAGACTTCATTATAAAGGGATTTTAGTGGGCTCCATTAGAACTATCAGCATGAATTAGATTCTTTTTAACTGGTGTCTAGGCCCCTGAAGGGGTTGGCCTCTTAACAAACCCACTGTGATTGAAAGAAGAGAGGCAGATAAAGGTTTTCTGACTACAGTTAAAAGAGAAAACTCAAGGGAGGAAATTCACAGGGGCTCTGAGGATATGCATTGCTCTTTGGGATGCATGTGCCACAGGAAAGTCGTTCCTGTGCTCATGGAGAGTCATAACACCACAGATCCCCAAGAGGTAAGGAGTATTCACAGTTGACCCCATCTAGATACCTTGAAGAGTACTGCAGGGAATACAGGCTCCAAGTTAAACACGTCCAATAGCAGACTCTGCTTTTTAAGGCAGCCCAGACTATTTGGAATATTATCTTTAGACAATTCATGTTCAATTCCGTTAGTTTCTGCACATTTTAATTTAGCACCTACCAAACAAGATGTTGTGCTAGTCATAGCAGAGAGGGAAATGTGAAGAAAATAAATGTGTCCTCCCTCCAGTCTACCGAGGTAGAGCCTGCCCTGGATACGATGACTGACGAAGAGGTTCACAAGGGGAAACTAGTCCAAGCCTAGGGAAACCCTTCCTGAGAAGATGGAAGTCAGGCCGGGCCCTGGAAGAGGAAATGGATGGGTGTTTGCTAGCTTCACTCATAAAAGCTGTAGCCAACACCTCCACAACAAAGACAGGTTAACAAGAGATCACATAGCTTCATCTAACCAAGTTCATTTTAAGTTTAACTAATTATGTTATGACTATGAGTGTTTTGTAAGCAAATATTTCTATGTGCCAAATGTTTTCTTGGTACTCAAAGAGGCCAGGAGAGATGTCAGATCCCATGGGATTGGAGTTGCAGATGGTTGTGAGCCACTGTATGGGTTCCAGGAATTGAACCCTGGTCCTGAAAAAGCAGCCAGGGTTCTTAACTGCTGAGCCATCTCTCCAGCCCCCTGTTTATTGAAGTTATGCTATCATAGGAACCTTCACAACGGCCATGCAAAGATCTGGTTCCTATGCAACTTTTATGTTGGGTTCCATGAAGCAGGGGTGGCCATGCAGAGATGAAACCAAACAGGAATGACTAGTGGCAGGAGACTGAGCGGAAATCCCAGCAAGGCCCATCTGTCCCAATTCTTCTTGGCCCCTCAGCTGTCATGCTTCCTTTGGGGTGTGAGGCAGCGAAGACCTTGATATATAGAATGACATGTCAGGAGTTTCTGTCTGCCCCATTGTTAACAAAGAAAAATGGGAAGGTTAAAGTATTATTTTTAGGGTTTGTGAATAGCTAGGGTAAAGAGGTTATTATGGTCTGCCTTGGAGAAGAGGAATTCTGGTTTCTAGGGCTTGCCTTTCGGGACAATGGAGTGAAAATCAAAGTGTGGGAGAAAGTCAAAAATAAAACCCTTGCTTTGGAGGCCTTTGTTTTGGTGCATCATTGTGTAAGTTCCAACAGAAAAATTCTGACAGTGTTCCTCTAGGGAGGCCCACCCAGATCCCTCACTAGGAATAGCAAATGGCTCTATGTTACAAACAAAAGTTATAATTTTCCCCCTGTTCTTCATTCCTCAGCTCCTGACTTCCCAATTGACACTCATGTCTACACAAAGGACCTGGGTAGAAACGTGACCATCGACTGCCCTTTCCAAAAGGAGAACGCTCATAGCAAGAAATCCTTATGTAAGAAAATAGGTCAGACCTGTGAACTTGTCATTGACTCTACTGAATATGTGAATCCCAAGTATAAGGATAGAACACGTCTTTCTATGAAAGGGACCAACCCAAAATTATTCAATGTCGACATTAATTACCTAAGACTCAGTGATGCTGGGCTGTATGTTTGCCAGGCTGGGGAAGACTCTAGTGCTGATAGAAAGAATGTTGACCTCCAGGTACTAGAGCCTAAGCCAGAGCTGGTTTACGGAGATCTGAGAGCCTCGGTGGCTTTTGACTGTGATTTGGGCCGTGAGGTGGCACACGAAGCCAAATATCTGTGCAGGATGAACAAGGAAACTTGTGATCTGATCATCAACACCCTGGGGCAGAGAGATCCAGCCTTTGAGGGCAGGATCCTGCTAACCCGCAAGGACAACAATGGCCGTTTCAGTGTGTTGATCACAGGCCTGAGGAAGGAAGATGCAGGACACTACCTGTGTGGAGCCCACAGTTCTGGTCTGCCCCAAGAAGGCTGGCCCATCCAAGCTTGGCAACTCTTTGTAAATGAAGGTGAGACCCTCCAAAAGGCAAGCAAGATGGGATGGCATGGGTTAGCAGATGAGACTCTAGCTCAACTCTCTGATACGCCCATCGATGTTCACGTCAGTCAGTGGTATCTACTCGCTGGAAAGTCTTGAACTAAGTGGGAGGCAGTTCAGGAGAGCTAGGAAATGCAGCCTCTGCGTTATGTTAGTTCCCAACAGTCCCTCTGCATTATCAAGGGTCTAGTGATGGTTACCCTTGGGTAGCAAGAATAAGGAAAGTAGAACCCCAGCTGGAGGCTTGACTATAGATGGGACTCAGTACCATGGTAGGGCCCACATCCTCTCCCCAGCCCACCTAACTCCATAGAAATTGTATACCACAACCCTCACACCCAGATGGGAGAACACTGGCATACCATAACCTTAAAGCTTCCAGGAAAGCAGTACCCTAGCATCTAGATGTTCCACTCACACAGCTCTAAGGGTTGTTAGTTATTTGGAGCATCCACCACAAGCTACCAACAAGGCAGAACAATTCAACCCATGCTGCCTTTCCCCCGGGAGCACAGTGTACAGACTAGCCCTCCTGAGAAGCAGCAATCCAGTACTTGCAGTTCAAAGTACCTGTCCTTATGGCTTTCCTTTAAGGGGACAATGTTCCTGACACCATCTTCCTGGCCAACTCTGGGTCTTCATCAGCATCCCTGACATTGTCCGTCACCATGGGTTCCCCCTAGACCTCTGCATTAGCTTTTGTTTTCTTGAAGGTGACTCTTGGGGTCTTCACTGAAATCATGCCTCATTGTTTTAGCTTCTATTTTAAGGTATACCTATTCCAAATATATTTTCTTAAACTAGGTACACTGCATCAAGCCATATTGTAGGTTATGCTAAGAAGCAGATTGAAAGCATACCTAGAGGAAGAGTCTGTAAGCGTTCCTCTTACAGTTAAATAAGTGAAGAGTCTCTCCTAAATACCATTCATTCCTGACTGAGAATGGAATAGGAAGAGAGCAAAGAGACCCCACATTGACCTCACTGGAGACTGGATAGCTACAGACTCAGACATAAATACAATCTATTTCATTTTCCGAGGAAGAGGAGGTGATTTGTCTAAACTTTCCTATTCCCATGGCAGATGCCCCGGGAAGAAAAGTTGCCTGGGGCATGCAAGGGTATTTGGGTATTTCTGTCCTTTCACGCCTCCCCATTTGTCCTTCCAGAGTCTACCATGCCCCCTAGTCGCTCTGTGGTAAAGGGTGTCACAGGAGGCTCTGTGGCTATAGTCTGTCCCTACAACCCCAAGGAAAGCAACAGCCTCAAGTACTTGTGTCGCTGGGAAGCGGATGGAAACGGACACTGCCCGGTGCTCGTAGAGAGCCAGGGGGTGGTGCATGAACAGTACGAGGGCCGACTGGCACTGTACGATCAGCCGGGCAACGGTACCTACACTGTCATCCTCAACCAGCTCACCCCCCAGGATGCTGGCTCCTACTGGTGTCTCACCGACGGTGACTCTCGCTGGAGAAGCACTGTAGAACTCCAAGTTTCTGAAGGTGAGAGTTGACATGGAGCAGGTGGCCATGGGATGCTCAAGACTGTTGCAGCAGCAGCAGCTTCATCTATGCCCTGGACATCTTTCCTGCGATGCCACCTCCATCCACGCTGGTGCAGGAAGGAGCCACTTGTCCAGAGGTCACATTTGCACACCCATAACCAGCAAGCACCCCCTTCTCTTTCAATCATCATTTGCAACACTTCCTGATATCAAATACTAGCCTCTTTTGCTGCAGATAGATGCCCCCTGGAGTAGAGTATTGAACATGTTCTTTGTACTAAGCCTAGAAAAAAAAAAAAATAAGTAGAGAAAAGTAAGGGGCTGGGTGTGGTGGCGCACGCCTTTAATCCCAGCACTCAGGAGGCAGAGGCAGAGGGAGGCAAATCGCTGTGAGTTCCAGACCAGCCTGGTCCATGAAGCAAGTTCCAGGACAGCTAGGGAGAGAAACTCTGTCACAAAACAAACAAACAAAAGCAAGCAAGAAAAGCAAGGGAGCAAAGAGAAGCCACCGAGCAAGGCTGTATGTTCTATGCCAAACTCTGGGCTGACAGACACAGTGGTCATCAATAGTCATTCCATTAGCGTATCCTCTGCATCTTACGTATTCAGAACCGTGTATCATAATGCTACCTTCGGAGGAAAAGCACGTGGCATACCAAAACCGCCCCTTTCCTTCCCCTGCAGCATCTCCAAGCCTCAATTTCTGTGTCTGTTTGCCAGCTACAGGGACGCCAAACCTCGAGGTGACACCACAGAATGTGATTGCAGTGCCAGGACAGGCCCTCACGCTCTCCTGCCACTATACATGCAAATACTACTCCCAGGAGAAATACTGGTGCAAATGGAGCAACGAGGGCTGCCACACCCTGCCTAGCCTCGACAAAGCGGCCCGCCTGCCCTCTGTGAGCTGTGACCCGAACAATCAGGTCATCTCCATGACCCTGAACCCAGTCAAGAAGGAAGATGAAGGCTGGTACTGGTGTGGGGTGAAGAAAGGCCAGGCCTACGGAGAAACTACAGCCATCTATGTAGCAGTTGAAGAGAAGACAGGGGGTAAGTCTCCAAGTGCAGTCAGTGGCCACAGCACCCCATGGCATGGCTGATCAAAGGCCCCTGACTAAAAGCTTCCCCATCAGGAACAACCACCGGGTTTTGCTATGAGAGGAAAGGAGTAGGGAAGCAAATAACAGGAGCTTTTCTGACTAATCTCACTAATAAGACAAGTCTCACACCAGAGTGAAGCCCCCTCTCCATCCAGAAATTCTGCAGAGCAATTTCAGAGTCACACTGGCATCAGCACACTGATCCGCCTCCATCTGCCTAAGACTGCTCTCCAGAGATGGCCAGGGACCTACACCTGGACCAAGACCACTAAGGCACAGGACTGAGAGTGTAGCTTGCATTATTAGAACATGTGCTTAGCATGCACAATGCCCTGGGTTCAATTCCTGGTACCAAAAGAATGAAGGGGGAGAAACAATTAAGGCAAGCTCATCTGGTAAGTTTGTATTCCCAGCCCCTGTTTATAATGCCATAGGAGCCAGGTAGTAGGTAGTAGTTCACGCCTTTAATCCCAGCACTTGGGAGAGAGAGGCAGGTGGATCTCTGTGAGTTTGAGGACAGCCTGGTCTACAGAGTTAATTCCAGGACAGCCAAAGCTATTACACAGAGAAAATCCTGTCTTGGAAAAACGGCACGCGCGCGAGCACACTCACTCACTCACTCACACACACACACACACACACACACACACACAGAGAGAGAGAGAGAGAGACAGAGAGAGAGAGAGAGAGAGAGAGAGAGAGAGTCATATAAGATATCTTGTATGATGAGGGCTTTTTAGCCCCTAGATATCTCAGGAAGTCTGAGTCCAGCAAGACTGGCTCACTAGAAACCATTGACATGCTGCTGCCTGGAGGTAGCCCTAGAACAGGATTTGATGCTGAGAAAATCTCTCTGTCAGCCTTTGTCACAGATGGATCTGTTACATAGAACCTTGACGATGGAAATTAGCTTGGTAAGAATAGGGTAGAGAACTGGGTAGAGGGAATCATGGGGTGGGGGCAGTAAGAGGAGAAATAATGTCTGGAGTCTAGAGAAGGTCTTCACTACCAAGTCTAGTGCTAGCCCCGGAGCCCTTCCCAGAAGCTTTGAGGTCTCGCGCTGTGATTTCACCCTAACCCTCAGGCATAAGAACACAGAGGAAAAACCATAACAGCCTTTGCTTTGCTGTGCTTCAGGGTCACGCCAAGTCAGCCCATTGGATGCAAACGCACCTGCCAACGTTGCTCCAGAAGAAGAGGTAGTTGAATCGGGTGTCAGTGAGAATGAGAACAAAGCCATTCCAAACCCCAACCTTCTGGAAGAGGAAAGAGAGATAGACGGTGTGGGAGACCAAGCTCAGGAGAACAGAGCAGCTGTGGATGCTGGCAGGTGAGTAGATTCTCCAGCCGGACAACATTCCAGAAGCCAAGCCCCAAGTCTGGGGCACTAGAACCAAGAAGCAAAGTGGGAAGAGACTAGTAGTAGACAGTCAGCTCTCACAGCCTTGGCTTATGCTTGCCAAGGGAGGAGAAGGTGCACATTCCATCTCCCATGGCTGGAGAAGTCCAGTTCAATATCTGAAGCCCGGAATATAGAGAAGGCCAGGTGCTTGCTTTGCTGGCTTGGGGGCATGGAGGGGGGGGGGTCCTTAGCAAAACAGACTTAAGAACTGCATCCAAAAGATAGAGTAGATAGATAGTCTAAGGGTGGGGGACCTCTAGTCTAAGGGGGGGCCATCCTGCACATCCTGAGGATCTCCCTGTCAGTGATGGACTGACTCAATCCCTCTTGCAGTGCTGATGGACACAAAGGGACCTCCAAAGTGCTGTTCTCCACCCTGGTGCCCCTGGGTCTGGTGCTGGCAGTGGGTGCTGTGGCTGTGTGGGTGGCAAGAGTCCGACACCGGAAGAATGTGGGTAAGTACCCAGAATGCTCCCCACCTCACCTCCGGTTCGGCTACTCAGCCAGGTGACTCAGGCATAGCCCATTTCATCCCTCCATTTCTTTGTGGCTCAAGACAGGGCAATAGCCACCTTCCACAGTGCTGATTTAAGCTAGAATGGAGTGCTGCAAACTGAGTCACAGATTGGCAAAGGTCCTAGAGTCTTGACTGCCCCAGAAAGGGAGTCAGACTATTTCCATTTGGATTTGGAGGCAAGCATCAAGAGGTACCACTCCTTGGTGTTGCTTGGGCTGTGGCATGTGGCAGGTCTTCCCAGGCAAAGCAGCACATCCCGCTCTCCTTAATCACGGCCCTACCCTCACACCCAGTCCTCTGTCCAACAGACCGGATGTCAATCAGCAGCTACAGGACAGACATCAGCATGGCAGACTTCAAGAACCCCAGGGATGTGGGAGGCAATGTGAACATGGGGGCCTCTCCGGATACCCAGGAGACAGATCTCGAAAGGAAAGATGGTATGTATTTTGAGAATGCTTAGCCCTTGGGAGGGGAGAACTGGACCTGTTCCCATCTGAAGGAACAGAGATGGTTAGGACTAAGGACACACACTCTCTCTCTCCATGCAGAAATCGTGACTACCACTGAGGTTGCCACGGAGCCAGAAGAATCCAAGAAGGCAAAACGGGTAAGGAAGAAGGGGTATATCCCACTGCATGACAGGGAATTCGGACTGCGGTTAGATATCAGAACAAAAAATCATCCCCATCTGGAGATTAACCCCCAAACAGGGAAGACGGCACAAATTCTGTATTTGAGAGGATTTTCTGAGAAGGAGACAGATCCGTCAGTGTGAAGCCTCAGAAGGAGGGGGCTCAGTTGCAGGCTGTGAACCCAATGATGGGGTCACAGGCGGAGGGTCACATGTTAAATGGTGAGGACTGAGTGGGTGATCTTCCTGAGCTACGGCCGGGGCCTTAGGGTTTTCCCATTTTCCCATGGCCACACATCCTCCTTCAAAACCTTCCTCAGGACTCACCTCTGGCCTGGCTGGAAGACATTTATGCACAGTGGGCACCTTGATCATCACCGGAAGCCTTTGCCCACCTCAACCAGTATCGTGAAACCCCAGAAGAGGCAGCTCCTGCCACTGGGTTGCAAATTGTCCTCCTCCCTTGTCTCCCAGAGTCTCCTTATGAGGCATATTGCGGGTTACTGATACTTTTTACTGTATCTGCTCCCCCTCATCCCATCAGAGATCCTGCATTGAGCAGAGTCAGGATGTGGGCTTAGTCCTAGGGATGAGTCCCTGCCATCTGGACAGTGCTAAAAAGAAAAAAAAAGAAAGAAAGGAAGGAAGGAAGGAAGGAAGGAAGGAAGGAAGGAAGAAAGAAAGAAAGAAAGAAGGAAAGAAAGGAAGGAAGGAAGGAAGGAAGGAAGGAAGGAAGGAAGAAAGAAAGAAAGAAAGAAGGAAAGAAAGAAAGAAAGAAAGAAAGAAGGAAAGAAAGAAAGAAAGAAAGAAGGAAGGAAAGAAAGAAAGAAAGAAGGAAGGAAAGAAAGAAAGAAAGAAAGAAAGAAGGAAGAAAGAAAGAGACCTCTCTAGGGTGGCAGAAAGAGAAAACACAGGGCACCTTGGCCGCCAACGACCGAGGCCGCCTCACCTGTGGACAGCAATAGCTTCTGGGGACAGCCCCCACCAACAGAGGGTGTTCCACTCCACTTTGCATAAGGGGGTAGGGAGATAGTGGGAGATATTTTTAGATGCTGCAACTTTCCATTTCTCAAAATTTAGCTCTTCCTGCTGAGCATGGGGCCTGATGACAGTAAAGGTCTCAGAAGTGTGTGTTGCTCCAGCAGAACTCCACATGCATGTCACTCTTCTGGCTCATCTACTAATGCCTCTCCTATTGCTCCCCAGTCATCCAAGGAGGAAGCTGACCTGGCCTACTCAGCGTTCTTGCTCCAGTCCAGCACCATCGCTGCACAGGTCCACAATAGTCCCAAGGAAGCCTAGGGGTGCGGAGCGCCTTACCCTTGCCTGTGACAATCAACTGAGAATCATACTGACCCCCTGGCAGCCTGCGCTCACTCATTGTCTCCTAGGCTTTGCCCTCCTTTCCTCAGACTCACGCTGGTCCCTTCCTCGGTTGTCAAAGCCTGGCCTCGCTGTACCTGTTTGGGAGGTGTGAGGAGTTCGGACCTGCAGCTTTTCTCTGTTAAAAGGTTAACTAAGGTGGAAGTAAGGAGTCAAGCCTGAGAGACATTTCTGAGAGAAGAGGTTCAGAGTTAGGGCTCTCCTCAGGAGGGAGAGCCATTTGAAGCCTCTTACATCATATGATGGCATGTCAGTGCAAGTCTTCTCTCCTCCATCTCTCCCTTCCTCTCTTCTCCATTCAAAAGACACATCTGAAAACGTAGTAGAATCCAGGTGCCTACGAAATGCTGAGTCCCAGGCCAGAACCTGGGACTACACATCATCGGAAGAGACCCCATCTTCTCCCAGACCCTGTCTTTTCACTAAGACATGGCACCATTACCAGGCATAGCTCCTACCTCTGCACCTAACAGTCTGAGGCACAACTAAGTCATAAGGACACCACCTTTTTCCGATGGAAGAGACTTGCTCTAGGGCATCCATGAGATAAACTAGTGTCCCACCAGATTTGGTAACTCCTGGCTGTTGGCCTGGGGTCTGCCTTCAAGACCTCTGCCTTTATCGGAGGGCAAGTGTTGGCATGAGGAAGTTAAGAGGAACTGAGTAAAGTGGGCATGATGGTGTACACACGCAATCCCAGCATTCAAGAGGTGGATAGGATCAGAAGTTCAAGGTCACCCTTGGCTACATAGGGAGTTTGAGGCCAGCCTGGGATACATAAAGACCTTGTTCCAAAGCAGAAAGAGGAGGAAGAGAGGGAGGAGGAGAAGAGAAGAAGGAGAAGGAGAAGGAGAAGGAGAAGGAGAAGAAGAAGAAGAAGAAGAAGAAGAAGAAGAAGAAGAAGAAGAAGAAGAAGAAGAAGAAGAAGAAGAAGAAGAAGAAGAAGAAGAAATACAAATGGATCTTTCTCTGGTGCAGCCTTTCCCCTTCCTGTCACTCATGTGGACCTCAGATAAAGGAACAAACACTCTCAGCCTCATGTGTTTGGAGAGTTTTGAGTAGACAGGAAGAAGGCACAGCCCGGGAGCAGCTGTTCTTCTAAGCGTCGAATGAAAAGACTGTTTCCCTCTGAGCTCCGCACATTGAACCAGCACCTACAGGCTGAAACCAGCAAATCAGAAAAAACAATTAATAATTAAAGTCTATGATTGCTACCAAGGAGGCTCGGGCTGCATTTGTCCCCCACACCTTAGCTCCTACTTCAGGTGCCCCAGGAGAAGTGTTCCAACCAACAAACTCAGCCTTTACGAAGGCTGAGCTGAAGGGGTTTTGAGAATATTGCCTTGGGGACATAATGCTCTTAGTTGTGCTCAGTCAGTCCTCCTGCTCTCCTCTGGGGCTGCCAACTGCAGCACTTAGTCTTACTTCCCTGGCCCTGGCCTAGATGAACCTTTGAATCCTTCACAGGCAAAAAGAGGCAGAGAAAAAGATGAGGACCAGTAGGTCCTTTTCTTTGTAATGTGGATACAGATCTCCTTCTCTGGTAATGATAGAAAGTCACCCAGAGGAGGCTATGTCACCTGTTATTAAACATTATACATCTCCATCCCCTACACTGCAGACCACTTAAGGGCTCTGCCTGCAACAGGAGTCTGAGATTCACTGTCCACATTAATGTCAGTAACCAAAAGCTGGGCTTGTCACATGGTCTACCCCAATCCCTGCACTCAGAGGCCAAGAAATGTCACTAAAGCCACAGGCAATGTATTGTATTATCAACAGATAATAACAAGGGCACCACACAATCTATCCTGAGGAAGTCCCTTCCTTACAAGAAGGAAGCTGGGTCACAGGTGGACCTGAACTTAGGGTGACATACAGCACAAAAGACCAACAATCGATTGTGAGCTTGATGACGATAAACAGGTCAGCCATGACCATCAACAATCAAGGGAGAGACTTAAATATCTGATGACAAGGAGACCTCCCCTGTGTTGTAAAATTATCTTTTGAAAGGCTGACACATGATAGCGTGGCCATGCATTAACAAGGCCTCCCTTGCAATGCTGAGACATGTGATATAGCAGTTGATTTTACTTTGTGAACTGAACTAATCTCCTCCCATTAAGACTTTTCCGGACTCAAAACCTAGAAACTCTTCCAAGAACACTAGACGAGAATTAATATGAGGTTAGAGACAAACCATTGATGATGATGACCCCAAGGCAAAGAAACATGCAATGTACCCCACCCAAGCTTCCCTGAAATACCTAACTGTGCTGGGGAGTCTGCAGCATAAAAAAATAAATAATAAATAAATAAATAAATAAATAACAATGAAGGGTTATCTCAGAAACAACACTATCAAGTGCAAAAGAGTGTGCCAGTGAAAAATTTAACACTGAGGCCAACAATGCCAAGTTGTCCATGAAGCTAAAATAGAAATGAGCGAAAGATCTCCCAGCTGTATAAGCCAAGGAGTTCAAGAGAGGCTCTTGCAAGGCAGTTAGGCCTAATATCACACACCTCTAGTCACAACATTAGGAGGTTGAGGCCAGAGCCCTCTGTGAATTCCAGGCCAACCTACACCACATAGTAAGACTGCCTCAAAAATAATAATTAAGATTTCTAGGTGACAGACAGGGCCTCTGTGTGACCCAGTGAAGGAGAGGAAGTCAAGATAAAAATGACTAGAATCCCTGTGAGGGAAATACCAGAAGACCATCAGAAACACCCAAAGGAAGGTGGGAAATAAAGATAGGTAACACAGGAAGAAAGAAAGAAAGAAAGAAAGAAAGAAAGAAAGAGAAAGAGAGAGAGAGAGAGGGAAGGAGGGAGGAAGGAAGGAAGGAAGGAAGGAAGGAAGGAGCCATAGACACACCACAGAATCATCATGGTGAAGTGGCCAGGAGCAGCCAAGGGGCACACAGACACTCCATGGCACTCATACCAGGCTGGAGTCGGTGGTAGCTGGCAGGGAGGTGCCGCTGCCTGCTGAACATAGCCACCGTGAGACTGGCTGGGCTACAGAGTTGCAGTCAGGAGCCAGACACACTCTGGGCAACTATGGGGACGGTGGTAAACCTACTGCATGAGAGCCTGAAGCTGAGACTCCCAGGATATGCCCAAGAGACCAAACCCAAGCATCTTCGAAAAAGGAGAAAAAGTTGAGGTAAAATCTAAAGGTGTAGTTAATGACGTAATTGATGAAATTACAGTAAGAAATTCCCCAATCCACTAGAAAGAAATAGACAGGAAGCATTTAGAGTCCCAAATAGGAAGAACATGTCATCGTCAAGATGCTAACCCTTCAAAACAAAGAAATTGTATTAAAACCGTACGGGGAAACACCAACCCAGCTACAGAGGCAAAGGCAACAGAACCAGCAGCAACATTACGAGCTAGAAAGCATGAAGATGTGGCAAGCACTGGAAGTACACACCTGCCAATCAAGATGGTTACAGCCAACAAAGTCGTCTCATAAAATCAAGGAAGAAATAAGAACATTTGCAAACTAAAGCAGTTTCATGACCACTGTGCAATCACTGGAGGAACCATGCAAGGGGCTAGAGAGGTGGCCCAGCTGTCGAGTGTGTCCTGCTCTTCCAAAGACCTAAGCTCAGTACTCACCACACACAGCTAGCAGCTTGCAGCTGCCTATTACTCTACCTCCAGGGCAGCTGATACCCATTCCTGGCCTCCACACCTATGGCATATACTCTCACACACATACACACATTGATACATTTTTAAGTCCTCAAAAAAGGAAATACTTATTTTAAAAAAAAGCGTACTAAAAGAAAATCCTATTCACAAAACAAAGGAAAGAATGAATTTTATAAAATGAATAGATGAACGAAGGAGAGCTAGGGAAGAACCCATCATATCCAACACGGGAAGTCAGCAAACCTCCAATATTCATGTGAGACAGAGAACAATAGTTCAACCAACCAGAACAGCTAGCAAAGTCACAGACACTAGCAAACATCCCTCAAAAACAAACTTTCACATAAATGGCCCCAGTGCCCCCATTTAAAGATTCAGGCTTTCTGAATACATTAAAAAGAAAAATGCAACTCTCTGTTGTCTCTAAGAAACATTCTCATGGTGAGATCAAAATATCAGAGTCAGGCCATAAAGCAGATGACAGCTGTAAACAGGCTTCCTTGGCTATTCTGATAACCGCTAAGGTTGGCCTCAAGCCAAAACTAGTCCAGGGAAGAGATAAAGTCACTACATCACTATATCAGTGGTTCGCAATTTAGAAGTCACAACCCATTTGGGGATCACATATCAGATATGCTGCCTATCTGATATGTACATTACAATTCATAGCAGTAGCAAAGTTACAGTTATGAAGTTGCAACAAAAAAAAATTTTATGGTTGAGGGGTCATCACAACAGGAGGAACTGTATTAAAGGGTTGCAGCATTGCCGGGCAGTGGTGGCTCACACCTTTAATCCCAGCACTCAGGAGGCAGAGGCAGGTGGATCTCTGTGAGTCTGAGGCCAGCCTGGTCTACAGAGCTACACAGAGAAACCCTATCTCAAAACAAACAAACAAGCAAAGGGTCGCAGCATTAGGGAGGTTGAGAATCGCCACACTACACGTTAACAAAGCGAATAACCCATGAGAAGACATAAAACGCTCCAGATCTTAGGGCTTGTAAAACTCCCAGCTAACATCGAGTGGATCGGTGGCCTCTTTGTGGTGTTGGAGGCTGAACCCCATGAGCTTGTGTATTCAAGGGAATCGCTCTACTATCGAGCTATAGCTTCGCCCACTATAGCTGGCCACCATTGATTGGCTGTTTGACTTACATGTCACCATGGAGGACAATGAGTCCTGGGAAGGACTACTTGAAGTGGAGGGCCTCCATTTGGCCAGACTCAGGTCTAAGAGTTTTGATCCCTTCAGGCATTCCTACCTGGCATAGCTCAGTTTCATAATTCTTTTTTTTTTTTTAAGATTTATTTTTATTTTATGTGGTTTGGCCCTGTGCAGGCCCCACGCATGCTGCCACAGTCTCTGTGAGCTCATATGTGAGTTGGCCCTGTTGTGTCCTTGGAGTCATCATCTGTCACCCCTGGCTCTTACAATCTTCCCACCCTCCGCATGGCTCCCTGAGCCCTGAGGGGAGGGGTTGGATGGAGACACCCCCATTTAGGACTGAGCGTTCCGAGGTCTCTCGCTCTCTGCACATTGTATAGTGTGGGTCTCCGTGTTAGTCCACATTGACAGCAGGAAGAAGCTTCTCTGGTGGAGGCTGAGCAAGATCTATAAGTATAAGCAGAATGCCATTAAGAGTCATTCAATTGCAATGCTCCCTGAGTAGAACAATAGTATTTGTTTTTCCCCTAGGTCCGTGTTCAATCTAGTCTCAGATCCTTGGCCACCAGAGCAGTGTCAGTACAGGTGCCATCTCACAAAATGGCCCTGAATTCCAAGTAGATACGGGCTGGTTACTCCCACATTATTTCTGCCACTATCACACGAAGCTATCATGCAGGCAGGTCACCCTTTTTAATAGGTTTGCAGATAGCCAGCCCTCCACCCCCAACCCACACATACACACTAATTCTTGCTTTTCCCCTCATCTGAATTTTCCAAAGGAATCTGTACAGACTACACGTGTTAGATGATCTCCTCTCATCCATTTGTCTTTAGCCCTGACTGGCAGGCTCAGCTCCACAGCAAATTCCAGAACTCCATAGATATGCAGGAAACTACATACCAAATATACGTAATACACACTTACAGCCACATCACGTCTCACAGAACACACATCACATGCCTACACACCACACAACACCCATTTACATATGACACGGGACACTGCTGTCACACACGATACACCGACACCCACACTCTCTCACACCCACCATCACACTTTGTGCATTCACTCATATTCTCCCTCCTTCTTTTCTTCCCTTTCTCCTTTCCTTCCTTTCGCCTGCCCTAGGACTCTAAGGCCATCACAGCCAATGGTGAGCCCAGCTGGATGTCTGGCAGGAGAAGGCCACTGGAAAGAGCTAGTAGAGACCTGGAGAAATGGGCAGGGCAGGGCAGGGCAGAGCAGGGCAGGCTGCCCACGCCCACGTTTCCTCTTTCCTCTTCCTCTGCACCTGCTCTGAGTTCACATTCAACCTGCAGGCCCGAGGAAATTGTTGCGTCGTGTTTTGGAGAGCATGTGACAAATGTGGCGTGTGGGCGTGAGTGGGGAGTGATGTGCAGTCTGCCGTCCACCAAGAAGCCTGAAAGAGGGTGGGCACAAGTGTCTGGAAAGCCTAGACTAGGGACCCTGGGAACTGTTGTCAGCAAATGAAACACCACTGAAGGAAAGCCTGGGAGCTCTCTGATAAGTTAGAGCTTTGTATATCTCCGTGTTGAAGGACTTTCATAATGATTTCTGCTGTGCACCGAGCAAGACAGTAACTGTCCCCGAGTTATCAGTGAGAACACATGCTCAGGGAAGCTTGCCCAAGAATAAATAGTGTCCAGACTGGACAAACAGTCACGCATTCTGTCTTGAATCCAAAGTTGTTTTCAGGAGCAACCCGGGCCTCAGCATCTCTCTTCTCTCCATAAATAGGCCTGTCACTGGGTGTCCTGGAGAATGGCTCTCCCAGGCTGCTGAGACTCCAGGCAGAGTTGCTACGTGACTTGTCACACCTGACTCTTAGTGGCCTGCGCCTCTGTGAGAGGGAAGGCCCTTTTGGAGAGAAGGAGGGACAGTGTAGCTGGAACCCTGGGCAAGCTACGACTAAGAGCCCGGGAATTAAATTCTGCATGGTCGTCTCACCTTCATTCTCTAGATAAAGTTCAGAGAAAAAGAGTGAACTGCTCAAAACCCATGGTTAATATCACTACAAATAGTAGGCGCTCACAAGTATCCATCAGAGGAATTAACTGACGGCTCGTTAAGACTCAAGCAGCCACGCTTTGGTCCACAAAGCCTTTGTTGTTGGGGGAGAATTGGTGCTGAGGTTGTGTCATTGTGAAGACAGAGAAACAATAAGTGACTTTAGCTCAGAAGCCAATTAATGCATAGAAACCCTTGGAGCCCCTCTGAGGACAAAGGTGCCAATGCCTGGTAGCCGCTCGGAGTTTCTTAGAGGCCCTTTGAACCCTAGTCACCCATTTTTATATTACACATGTTTTCTCAACACTCGATTTCCGCTGTGGTTTGCTGGTGTTTTTCTTTTTTAGACAAAGACTAGTTAGCAAACAAGACGGATTATCATTTCCTCATTTTTAAGCCCTCACCCCTCCGGGGGGACAGAGTCTCTTTCAAGCACCGAACTGTAGAAGGCAATCGCTGTGTCTCCTCTGCACTCTTGGATGGGATCTGGCCTCCGAGGAACCATGTGCCTTTGGATTTGGTTACTTTACTTCCTGCCAGGTGAGTACCACAGGGAAACACTCCCGGTTAATTACCAGGTCTGAATTAGCCAGAGGCAGTCAATCTCCAGCCATCACCAGCTCTAATGTTTCTGGACAGATTGAGCTGCAGCCAGGGCAAGCACAGGAGGATGGAGACCTGTGAAGTGCTGGCTGCTGTTCCAGACCTCCATCCAGGGCAGCTGTTCGATTGTTAGGGGCTGAATGTGTCACGTATCCTAAACATTCACTTACGAGTTCTTCCAATGGTTGTCTCTGAGGTCTTTCTTTTACCTATTTTTCCTTTCCTTGGATCTTTCTTTTTAACTCTTGAATTGGCGACTCTCAAGTTCACATGAAGACTCCATAGCCTATTCCCTAAACTTCATATCTCAATTAACAACCGCCTATCCGGCACCCCCCTTGAATGATCACCAAGATCTGGAATTCAATGTGCCCAATGCCTTGCCTGAGAGACTTCACCGTTCATGATAGAAACCATCTATTCCATCTGTCTAGCATATAATGTCATTCAACGGCTCCCACTATCTACCAAATTAAAATCGCTCTCCTCTCTTGTATTCTAATTGTACCCCACCCCCCTGTGCCTTCTTCCAGCCAGGCATGCTCTTCTTTGGAAAAGTGCTGCAGATCCCCCTCTCATGCCCTCTCTCAGGCTGTCCCTGCTGTGGGAATGTCATTCCTCCCAGATTCCCACTCACCGGTTCTTCTCAAACCTGCTCAGCTCTCGCCCTCGAACACATCCCGAGTCCAGTCACTGTCACATATGTTGGCTCAGTGTGTTTATCTTACTTGGTTTATCAATAATAGATCCTTTGCGATGGTTAAGCTTTGTTGAGGATTTGATTGGAGTAAGAAATGCTGAGGTATTAACAGAGAAGGCCCACCCTGCCTGCGGATTACACTATGCACTGAGATTATGGAATAGAAACAGGAAAGAGGGAAAGTCTGCCGGGCACCGGAATTCATCTTCCTTGTTGGCCCCCAACCATCCCACCCCAAGATACAATCAAGCCGCTTCAAGCTTCTGCTTCTCAACCTTCCGAATGCTGCGGCCCTTCAATACAGTTCCTCTGGTTGTGGTGACCCCCAACCATAAAATCATTTTCATTGCTCCTTCGTAACTGTAATTTTGCTATTGATATGAATTGTAGCGTAAATATCTGTGTTTTCCGATGCCCTTATGTGACCCGCGTGAAAGGGTCATTCAACTCCTAAAGGGGTCATGACCCACAGGCTGAGAACCACTGGCCTATTCCCTCAAACTCTGAACCCAAAGAGACCTTTCCTTACTGAAGTTTCTTCTCCTAGGTATTTTGTTGCAACGATAAGAAAAGTAACTAATCCTGGAAACTTACACCAAGAAGTGGGGTTACTGCTGTGAGAAATGTGACCTTGTTGTTTAAAGGCCTTCAGGACTAGTTTTCAGGAGGCATTTTGAAACATGGATGATGTAGAAAAGTTCTAGAATGTGATAAGCAGAAGTTAATTGGGCCGTACTGGTGAGAGTATGGAAGAGCAGATACACACACTCACACTCACACTACACACTCACACACACTACACACTCACACACACTCACACTACACACTCTCTCTCACACACACACTACACACTCACAAACCATACACACACTATACACACACACACACACCACGCACACACTTACTCACACACTCATTCATGCTCTATCTCACATACACACTACATCAACTGCCCCCACACCACACACACACACACACACACACACACACACACACTGTACAGTATAGACTATGCTCACAAAAGAGCAAGGACTCCATCAGCACTTGGAGAAGGGCTCATCTGTGTAATAACCTGGAAAAGATTCTGGATGTGTTCTCTTTGTGTATGTGTGCCCAGAAGCCGAATGTTCCTGGATTCGAATGGACTGGGTTGTTTGACAGAGACTGTAAATGTGGCATAGCATTCGTGCCATGGCATGGCTATGGCACACTGTGTTCACCCAGATTTACAGTGAGAAAGAACAGAAAGGTGTGGAAAATGTTCTGCTTGAACTCAGTTAAAGATGCAAATAGACCAGACCAAAAAAAAAAAAAAAAAAAAAAAAAAAAGAGCTCTGATTCTTTAAGAAGTTAGTGCAATTAGAGTGTCCTACTTAGGGTTTTTATTGACCAAAAATGAAGCTGGGGAGGGAAGGTGTTATTTGTCTTGCACTAAGAAAGTCAAGTCAGGACAGGAACTAATCATGTCAGGAATGCAGAGGCAGGAGCTGATGTAGAGGCCACAGAGGGGAGGGATGCTCCTTACTGGCTTGCTCCTCATGGCTTGCTCAGCCTGCTTTCTTATAGAACTCAGGACCACCAGCCCAGAGACAGCACCACCCACAATGGGCTGTGCCCTCCCCCCACCAATCACTAATTAAGAAAATGCCTCACAGACTTGTCTGAAACCCAGTCATATGGAAGCATTTTCTTGAGGTTCCCTCCCTCAGATGACCTGAGCCTGGGTCAAGTTGACATAAAAACTATCCAGTGCGAGGGAACCCTGGGACGTTGCAATGGAAAGATGCTTGAGCACGGTCTCAAGCTGGACAGTGTAGTGATGCAAACTCATTTGGCAAATTTTCATTAGAAAAGAGAGAGCTTAAGTAAGGAGAATCTTCAAGGCATGATGCTAGAAAGTGTTGTCTCGGGGTTTGCCCTCAAAGGCACGCAGGTCCTGTTCTAGCTGTAGTCCAAGGGGCCATACGACATCTCAAGCTTATAACAGAACTGGGCCTGTCCACACACAGCTGCCTTTGCAGATGTGTAAGATATAAGGGTGAAGGGGTCGGGGTGGAGGCCAGCACCAAGGTTCCAGCACAGTTTGCCTCTGAAGCTAGGCAAAGTGTGCAGGGCTGGATTTTCTGTATGGAGACCCTAAGAGGTCACTGTGTGAAGCTGAGAAAGTAAAGCAGGTAGAGTGGTAGCAACTCCAGGACGTTGGAGGTGCCAGAAATGTGGGGAGGTCATGTGTCTAGGAAAGCTGCAGGCACCAAGTGCAGTCAGTCTGCCCAGAGGGGGATCATATGTGCCATAAGCTACAGAGCAGGAATATATGGATTTAACAAGATAGGAACATACAAAGTACTTCAATCAATAGTTTATTGTTAATCTTGGTTTTTTGTTTGTTTCCAAACAAGGTCTCCTGTAGCTCAGGCTGGCCTCTAATGAGCTATGTAGGTGAAGATGATCTTGAATTCCTGGTCCCCTTGCAGAGGATCTCGAGAGTTAGATAGATTAAAGGATTTGAGGGGGGAAAGGGTCTTGGAAGGGAAATGTGTTGCGAGAATGTCACCTTTCTGGCTCCCATATTGAAGGCACTTGAGGGTTGTGTGTTGTTGGGGCTTTTTCAGGCACACTATTTGTCTTTGGAGCAGGTACTGTGGTTGTGTCTAAGTCCTTACCATCTCAGGTTTAATCATGAGGCTCACACTGAAGACCTAGGCAGAGAGTAAGCCTAGACGAGAAGAATAGGACCTTGAAGAAACTGAACACGAGTCAACGAGCAGAAATCATCATAGGGCTAGATCTAGCGGCGAGTGTGAGGGTGGTCTGGGGTCAGCACTAGGTTTGGAGAGATGCCTGAGGTTGAGAATGTAGCTGAATACAAGGCTCCTTCTGCATTAATTTTTTTTTCTCCGTGCAGTGTCTGGGACTCGGAAACTCCTGCCAGAAGTACAGCTGGATGCAGAGTGTGGCGGGTCCATCACCATCCAGTGCCCACTCCCTCAGACGCCTGTGAGGATGTATCTGTGCCGGCAGATGACTAACCCTGAGCTGTGTGCCACTGTGGTGTCCAACAGCTTTGTCAAGGAGAAATACAAAAGACGAGTCACCTTAACACCATGCTTGGATAAGAAGCTATTCCTAGTGGAGATAACACAGTTGACCAAAAGTGACAGTGGAGTCTATGCCTGTGGTGTGGGTGTAAACACAGACCTGGGCAAGACACAGAAAATCACCCTGAATGTGCATAATGGTAGGTGTTTGGACAACATTCCCCGTTGGGGAAACCGAGGCAATTTTCTAACTGTAACGGTTCCTCTGTGTTAGGCTGCCCAGTAACAATGCAGATCAACACAGCCTAAAGGCTGACACCCCGGCCTAGAACCTTAGGAATAAGATGGATGCTATGTGTTGCCTGTAATACCCAGGGCATGAGTGGAGAGGAAGACATTAGCCTGAGGAGAGGCTCTGAGGCTGAGGAAACCAGAAGGGCATGCCTGTCCTGTGTAATTCTCTCATGAGACATCTGGGGTAGATGAAAAGGAGACTCAATAATCAAGCCATATCTAGTCCAAATTTGTTACTCTATGGTCGGGACCCTCATTTCTTCTTACTTCTGACGTTTCCTCTTTTCAGAGACTGCCTAACACGTGTGTGAGTGGTTTGGCAGTTTATAATCCCAATAGCCTGATGGTCTTATAGGGGATGCTGGATCCGCTGGTGGGAAAGGCCAGTTCCTTCAGGGAAGCCCCATGCCCAGTTCTTTCCTGCTTGCCTCAGGGGACCATATTGGTCTCTCGAAGGCCTTGGTTGAGTCAGCTTCTACTTGAACCTCCGGTCCCATCTGCTCCCTTGTGATGGCCAGTGTATTCCTCTTGCCTCCGACAGAATATGAACCATTCTGGGAAGATGAGCCTACCCATGAGCCTCCACCGTGGTTTTACAGATTTCTGCAGGAGCACATTCCCAGCTGGCTCCCCGAGGCTGAACATGCCAGTTCTTCTGAATTCACATCTGAAGGTCAGTTCATCAAATCAAGATCAGCAGAAGAGGGAGAGGTTTTTTTGTTGTTTGTTTGTTTGTTTTCTCCAGCTCAAAGAGTGGCAAAGCATAAATGTGTTTTCCATTCTTTGTCCCTGTTGTAAGAGAGGACCTTTGGTCTTATTACTAGGACATCAGACCTTAGTTGGAAGAGTCACATTTCACCACCAGGTGGCACCAAACCAAAGTAACAGAGCGCACAATTCACAAAGGCCAGCTCCTTTTTGAAAGACTGGGAAGGGCAGCTGGTTCCCAGCTGGAAGTCATTATGAGTCTTGCTACTGGCAGGGAGGGATATCTTCTGCCAGCTGGTAGCTAGATTTTAACAACTCTTTTTAGCAATTAAAAGATGACTGTCCTACTAACATTTCCCATTGTATCTTAACATACGGCACCCACGTAAGTTAGACACACTCATTGAACACTGTTACATTAGAAGACTCTACTAGGGCCAAGAGAAACAGGCCAGCAGGGGCACATCATAGATCCCCGAATGTGACTGACAGGGATGGACTGGGGGAGAATGGATGAGCATAGGATAGTGAGATACACTCCCCACCCCACCCCCACATCCCCACCTCCACCCCGGTGCTTAGTACATGGTAGGTGCTTCCACCAGTGAAGTCTGGAAAGTCTTGCTGGAGAAAACGATATTTGAAGGCAGTATGCATGAAAGTTGTCTGTGTAGATGGCATGCTATAAAGGCATTTCGGGCCACGAGGACTGTAAGAACAAAGGTGGTACGCACCCGCAAAAGGGAAGATATGACTGAGCGAGGAAGAGAGACCCACTCCTCCTGCAGCCCGGAGAACAGGGCTTATCACTAATGTTACCTCCCGCTTCTTGCTCTTGAAGTTACCACACCAGCTCCAAGGACAGAGGCCCTAGTTCACCAGCCCTCCAGCACCATTCCAGTCACCCACCACCACAGAGTTTCCAGAACACCTTCAGTGACGACTGACGAGTCCCCCGCCCTCCTGCCAACCACCACAGCCTCACGGACCTCCGCTCAGCAAGCACTCAGGCCCCTAGGGGCCAGCTACAGCCACCACACCAAACTTCACGGCCAAAGGTATGAGTCTTTTAGGTAGTAGTGGTGATCAGTAAAAGGTGAGAGTTTGTTTAGGGCCTGTGTGCGAAGACCCCTGAAGTCAGTCTGTCCCCTTCTGGGCTTTGTCTCCAGGGGTCCACTGAGGAATGCTCCGCGCTACAAAAATGCTTAGTCTCTTCAACAAAGAATACACTTGCCAACAGCCATTTCTGACCTTACAGAAAGGTGTGGGTCTTTCTATCATACATGTTCATTCAGGTCTGTTGTAATGAGTAACTAAATGAGAAGAACTTTTAATTAGTTTAAGGTAATTAAAAGTAATTACCAATTAATAAGTGTCAGAATTACTCTCATCCTTTTCCTTTGTAGTGCGGCTAACAGAATTTAAATTCCATATGTGGCAACTATTTCTATTGCTTAGCATTGACCTAAATGAACCACTAGGGGCAACATTACAGCAAACGCCTGAGAAAACCCACAAGTATTTTAAAGCCTGGGGTATGAAATCTATGGCTTGAAAGAAAATGGGGCTCTTGACTCCTATTTCAGACGTCCATGTAGTAAATATTTTCTTAATGTCAACTATGTGCCTGGCACCATGTAGTGTCTTTAAGATGTTAAAGAGATAAAGATGAGGGGTGTCCAGGTCTGGTTAACGCCAGTCAGCCTGTGGAAGGTCTCTAAGGACAAGAACCGGAGCTGATTCAGAAACTGCTATAGACCCGGCTCCTTCAATTCTTTACACCTCCTTTGCTTCATAATCCTGACAGTTTTTCGCGGCACGTTTTTATGGTTCGCATTTCTAGGGAAATAAAGCTCAGGGGAATTAAAACTCGCTCAAGATCACATAACCAGTAAAATGCACAACTTGAAGTCAAGACTCCTGACCCCATAAACAAACCTCTTGGGGGGGGGAGGGTGATGGAGGGGATTTTGTTCACAAACGGTCAACTCTAAGTCATCTCCAAAAAAGGTGGCCACACACGGGTGGGTCTTTAAATTTCCTTTCCGTATTTACCTTCTCTGTCTCCCTCTCTCCACTTCTTTTCCGGCCAAGAACACTCCACCACAGCCCGCCGTATGGGAGAGAAGACCAAGGACTTCATATCCCTGTCTTAGAATTTCACATCCTGATTCCGACCTTCCTGGGCTTTCTCTTGCTGGTTCTCTTGGGACTGGTGGTAAAAAGAGTCATTCTTAGGAGGAAAGGTGAGCATCTTGAGGCTCTGGGCTTTGGTTGGGACAGCTAAGATACCCAAAGAGCCCAGAACATTCCGATCCAGCTTGAACCCCCAGGGAGCGTAGATGGGAGATGGCGCCAGGGCTTTGCCCTTCCTCCTGCGCTCTGCACTTGGGCGTCTGTGCTTGAGCCACGCATTGCCAGGCATCAGAGAGCTGTGCAGCCCTCAGTTTGGGGAAAGGAGACGCAGGTGGCAACCTGAGTCTGATGCCATGTCCTTCTCTCTTTCCGGTAACCTCCTGAAGCCTTCTCCAGGCGCATGGGCCGAGTGGGGATGAGGATTCGAGGTCGGGAGGCGTCCAGCCAGTTCCCCGCACAGCGACCGCAACGCCAGGGTGCTCCGCAGAGGCCGCGCTCCCAGAACAACGTCTACAGCGCCTGCCCGCGGCGTGCACCGATACCGGAGCAAGAGGGTGAGCACAAGCACCCCCTCTCCAGAAGGGCGCAGGTGACAGGTGGCGGCCAGGCCTGAGGATGGCCGACTCTCACCGCTTTCTTCTGCCCTGCAGGCTCAGCAGAGGCTTCGCTCCTCGGTGCGCCAGCTTCAGCATCCCTCGACCCATCTCAGGTAAGCTCCGCCCTCCCCAGCCCGAGTCCCGGGCTCAACCAGGCAAGCTTGCACCTCTAGTCCAGGGTCCTCAAGAGGTTGAATCTGGTACCTGTGGTGAAACAATCAATCAGGAGGCTGACTCTGCAAGAACTGTTTGCTTACCTGGCCAAGCATTTCTCTTGGGATAAATGGATGCTGATGACTTTGGTGTAATAGAGAATGATAAAGGCGCGTATCCCTGTAGTGACCATGATGTGAAGGGACACTTGAGTTTCTAGAAGACTAGAGAGGATGGAAGCTACCCCGACAATTTCACGGCAGTGTGAGGGAGAACATTGGAGACAACTCTTAAAATGAGAGGAGGTCATAGTAATGTGGCCATTAGGCTTTATTCAAAGTAACTGGGCAGAGACGCGGACGCTCAAACACTACAGGTGTGCCCCTTTGTTCTCCCAACTTAAGGAAAAATCCTTTAAGTATTCTCAGCGTCTAAAAGATTGGGTTTTGTAGTCAGAAAAATACTAATAATGGCACCAAGCGGTGTGTGTGTGTGTGTGTGTGTGTGTGTGTGTTAATTAATTAAATACAACAGACCTAAATCGCAGAGCTCAGGACATGGAGGCCAGTTTTCCTCTGAAGTCAAGGTTCAAACCAGAGGGACAGGAAGAAGAGGCTTAATCCTTGACATCATCCAGTGACATTTTGCTCCCCAACACATTTCCATGTCCATGACATTTCCATGTCAGTATTCCACCGCCAGACCGAGTTCTCATTCTACCCACAGGGGAAACAGGACCCTGGATTTTCATATCTCTCGTCCACTTGCCTCCCATTACCTGTCTTGCTGGCACATCTATCTGCCTTCAAGGGAGGTTGTGAATGGCATGCCTGGTTGGCAATATATTGATTATATGATCATGTGTGTGGCTAAAAAGGGAAGAAGCCCCAAAGTCACCTCCAGTCTCTTGACTGTGTCCTCTCATCCATATAAACCCCCAGAACAATCTCCAAGGCTTGGAATGAACGGCCCAATGGAGCCTGTGCTACCCAAAAGCCAGTCTTTTCCTCTGGATCTCTTATGATCATACAGACTCTGCCTCCCTCTGTAAGACTTTCTCTCTGTTAGGAAAAAAAAAATCTTGACAGAACAAATTTACAGGGTGCATATGCTTAAAGTCTTATTTCAGTCTTCATAGTGAATATTTTTTAACTTACTTACTTTTAGTGCATTGTGTTTTGCCTGCTAATGTCTGTAGGAGAATGTCTGATCCCCTAGATTGGAGCTACAGACAGCTGTGAGATGCCATGTGGGTGCTGGGAATTGAACCTGGGTCCTTTGGAAGAGCAGCCTGTGCTCTTAACCTCTGAGCCATCTCTCCAGCCCCATAGCAAATACTGTTATTGTCTAAACCAAGTAAGTTGCCATTCAGTGGGAGACATGTTTTCGAAGCTAGCTTCTGCTCTCTCTCTCTCTCTCTCTCTCTCTCTCTCTCTCTCTCTCTCTCTCCCTCCCTCCCTCTCCCCCCCCCCCCGGTAAAATGTAAAATGTAGAAGTTCTTGTTAACAGACGCTTCCTGCATTCAAAGAGCTGCCCTGCTAGTTCTTAGAACTTTATGTGGTTGATCACAGTGTCTGCCATGGCATTCTCCTGTGGCTATCACAGTACTTGTACCTGCTGGAGTCTTGACAGAGCCTTGTCTTCAGAGAACTAGCTGCCATGAAGGGGGAGTCCTGGAGCTTCTGTCTGGCAAAGAGAAGCACCCTAGTGCCCACGTGACCTTGGGTCTTCCTTCTTTCTTCAGCTCCCCAGCCCTTTGCTGGAATGCATCCTTGTGCCATGACACGGCCTCTCCAAGTCCTTACAGAGGCATACGAAATGACTCACCCTGTGTTTGAATAGTTGCCGGAGAAGATGCATATCTTTCCTACAAGTCATATCCCTTTATCCCCAAGGGGAGACTTCTGCAGGTGGGCCTCCTTCACACTCACTCATGCTCAGCCCAATGACTGCAGTCTGAACCCCATGTAAAGCATATCCTGCCCACGTTAGAATGAAGCAGTTTCCAGTTATTTGGGGGGTAAGACCGCACCCTGAAAAACCCTGGGGCTGGCCCACTTAATGGGGTTCAGCCAATTCTTTGCCATCTGGAACTCAGCAGCCATGTCCAGGTCCTTCCATTTCCACCTAGACAGATGCTAAAATGGCCCAGTCAGAGCTGCTGACACCCCTTTGGTTGTTCCCAGGTACTTGAAGCCTCCTGGTCTCACACCCCACCTCTGAAGACAAGCTGTGACTATGTGACCTTGTGCTACCAGCCTCCTGTCAATGTGGAAGACACTGGTTCAGATGATTACATCAATATTCCTGGCTCACATCGTCTCCCCAGCTGTCCCTCGGGGCCCAGACCTTCATGCCAATAAGTCCTTCCTGTCTGCTGATGTCCATTTGTTACAGGATCCATATCACCTCCCATGTCCTGCACCCCAACTTGACTCTCGCCTGACCATCGGAATGCCTTGAGGATGGTCTTATTACAAGCTAATTTTCACCCCACTGAAGGCCCTGCATTCATTGGGAGAGCCCTGGACATGTGGAATATTTATCTGTCATGATGACACCTGTCTATTCTGTACTATCCAACAGCTTTGGGACCTACCAGATTCTTTGTCATGGTCCTGTCTTAAGTGACCTACCCCTAGCTCATGTGGCATCAGACTGGAAGATAAGCCCTGCTGACATTTCCAGGTCCTGAACCAAAGGGCATAATGAGCTTCTACTTTTCTTGAGTGCCATGGCAAGGGCCACTTAACTGGTATAATGACTTATTCTAAATTTTTAGAACTAAGCTTTAGAATTCTCTCTCTCTCTCTCTCTCTCTCTCTCTCTCTCTCTCTCTCTCTCTCTCTCTCTCTCTCTCCATCACTTAGTACAGATAACCTGACTCCTCGTCTCTCTCCTTTAGAAGACTTGGTTATCTCCCTACCTTCTAACTTCTTCTATATCTTAGTACCTCACTTTAGCCAAACTATCACCTCTCTCTGCTTTCAGAAGTACATTCATTTCCTTGTCAATTCCAGACAACTCAGGGCAAGGCATGGGAGAAAAGCACCCTGGGGGATCCCACAAGGTCAGGGAATCTGCACGAGCATTTCTGGCATGGAAGAAGAGAAATCCCACCTCCATACATGCTTCTTATCTGACGTTTAGAGCTTGGTTGGAGTCGGATGCTTTTGGGATCGACATCAGCTGCAGAGTTCAGCCATAGGATGAGGCAAGAGATTGCCAGCTCTTGCCTTTGAGAAGAGGGTCTTTCCCAGATACAGGATGTAAGCTCCCTGAACATTTTTCTAGAAATAGAGTGGAGTGGCTACCTGACTGGAGTTGCCTTTCTTAGCAAGGAATGTCATTTCAGATTGAACAGTGCATCCAGGTACAATGTCACTGTCAGCCGGATACATCATATTAAACAGATTAGGAAAGAATGGTCTCATAAGCAAGAGGGGTACTCGGAGAAATCGGGGAGTGGGGTGGGTGGGGAATCGAGGAAAAGGTGAAGTCTGGGGTGAATCTGCCTTGTTTTAGCCCACATCGTAGCTTTCATCATTTATTCTTCAAACCAATGGCCCTTGCTGGAGCAACAACTCAGAGGTTAGGACACTGGCTACTCTTCCCGAAGTCCTGGGCTGGAGCCTCAGTCCCAGGGGATCTGACGACATCACCTGGTCTTCATGGAGTACACACATGGGGGCAAAACACCCACACACATAAAAATAAATGAAATCTCAAAGCATTGCCCTTCACCTCCACCCAACCCTCTGTCCCTGTGTGGTTCCCACTCACGAAAGCTTAGTTTCGTAACACACCATCACTCATTGTTTCTGAACCATCCGAAACAGATAAAAATAAATAAATAAAAGCCATCCAGTTTAAATATTTACCGAGCAACCACCCACTGTCCCCATGCTATGGCCAGATCACAGGGAATAAGGTGGAAGCAAGGGGGAGGGACCCTACATTCTGCTGCTTTCACGGAACTTCCTGCCTCCCAAATAAATATGGTTTCCACTGACACAGTGACAGTGATTAAATAAAGTTGCAATAAATACTCAAATCCACCGTGTGGGTTAGTCACAGCATTAAAGGTGCCTCCCTTGACTGTCATCTGGACCACCAAGGAAGGGAGTCTAAAGAGATGCCTGAGCAGGCCAACAACGGAGTCAGTCCATGGCCAAGAGTCTGAAGCGCCCTGAGGACACCATGGGTGTAAACGGCTTGAGAAGGCATGGAGAGCAAACGGGAAGTTGATCCTGACAGGCAGTCAGAGCTGGTAGAATTTCTGCATCCAGGTCAAGAGAATGTCCACTTCCCCAAAGGCTTTCACCAAAGCCGCTTCTGTGTCCATCTGCAGCGAATAGAGAGCCAGGGGTCAGGGATGTTGACTTTGAGAATAGTTTCCTTCCAACCTGACTCCAACTTAGCTGAACCACCTGGAGAATGGCCTCTGATAAATGGGTCCACCCATCACATGAACCCCATCTGTGTGTATTTGTTTCCAGGGCGAGGCAAGGTGGGGCGGGGGTATTGAGTAGGTAAAGGGTCAGACAAGAACATGGCATCTGGAACATAAGAACCTTAGGGTGCAACCTAGGAAAGATGTGGTGTACTCGTTGGGCAGGTAGACTGGTGTATCTTCTCCATGAAGTGATCAAAACCAAGGATGTTTTCTTTGAGGGTGAGGGTACCACGGCTGAGATTTGGACTTCCTTTGGTGAGTTAATTTAGAAAGATGTAATACAATCTCCTATATCTTTTATTCAAATGAGACCATTTGAACATTGCAAAAATGATGTTGATGGGTTTTCCACCTTCTTTCTGAATTCTGACATTAGGTGCCTGTAAAACTTTCACTTAGGGAAAGTCCTCAATAGTGAAGCATCCTGTAGGGAAGTACAATGGCATTTCCATCCAAAAACTAACAGAAAAAAAAAGGTACCACTTTGGTCAGATGGGTCTGGGACAACCCCAAAGGAGGGCATGCCCCGTGACAGTTCAAGCAAGCCTGCTCCTGCCGGGTAGGCAGGCTCCCAGCTCCTAGCCTTACCTGTTTGAATGCTCTGCAGAACAGCATAAACCGCCGGTGTGCACTCTCACTAATTGAAAGCATGTCCTTGTCCTTCTGCATAGAAGAAAGAAATGTTCCTAAAGTTAGATCTTCACCCCTCCGGCTCTTCCTGCTGATACCAAGGTGGGGCTTTCAGATCCTGTAAGGACTTCCCGGGGTCCCACACTATCAAGGAAGCCAGAGCCAGATTCCCAGCATATGACAGGGCTAGCTATACCTTTCCTCACAGCAATGTCTACAGGAAGAAACGTCACCCCATTTTACAGATGACAAAACTGAGCACCTCGCAAGGGTTCCCATTCTGATGAGGGCAGATAGAGACCTGAACCTATAACCCTTTCCCATGACACGCAGGACTCTTTATTGGGAATGGAAGCCAGGACTGCACTGAGGGAGGGTCAGCTTCTCTAGCACACCATTTCCCTGGCTCCAGCCATGATCCACTCACACTAGGCTGCAGTTTTGACGCGATGACAAGGAAGTTGTTGGCCAGACTGGAGAATGACTTCAAGGTCTTGAACTTGGCTATTTTGCTATGGTAGTTTTTGAAAACAGTGTTCAAGTAGAACTTTAGCAGACTGTGGACAAGGTAACAGCTCTCGGCATCCTGGGAAAGAACCAAATCCTTGAGGCCTCTGCCGTCCTAACCCTAAAAGGAAAACCAACCCATGTGCCACTCAAAGCAAGATGAATGCCATAGCGTCTCCTTGGAAATAATGGTGGCCCTGGGTAGATCTGAAGGGACAGCACCAGTCTTGTGGAGCTACTTGAGATTTACAGCAGGAACTCAGACCCCAGGGTAGCTCAGCCATCCCAGATGCTAGCCTGGCTCCCGTCCCCTCTACTGTATGGCCTCATTAACATGAGGAATCCAGGAAAAGCCTTTGGATTTTGGCATTGGCTTTAGAAGGGAAATGACTGGAAGGAGGAGAGTGAGTGAGTGTCCAGGACCGGTGGTTTGTGGGGCTGCAGTTAAGACCTGGTCAGCCCCAGGTCTGCTGGCAGAAGACTTCTAGTAGCATATATAAAGGGCAACTAGCAATTACTTTCCTTTATCCTAAAGACACCCATTAGCTGCAGGAACTACTTTGCCTTCAGGCCCTCCATAGCTGCACTAATCACCTAGCCTTCGGGGCAAGAGTAAAACCGGCAGGGCCCAAGTCTATTGTTATTTAGATAGCAGCCATTCACCACTAAGTCCTGCCGCATCCAGCAGCTGTTAAGCTGATGTCTTAGAGACAATAAGAGGGATGGAATGGACTTCCATATAGGAGTCCCAAAAAGTGAGAAACCCTGATGCCCTTGAACACAGCAAGTGCTACCTGGCCCTTTCTGCTCCAAATGCTTGGTACCTCTCAGGCTTCAGTCTGTTCATATGCACAGACTGCCTAGACCAAGGGTTTTCAACCTTCCTAACACTGCAACCCTTTAATACAGTTCCTCATGTGGTGATGACCACCTCCCAACCATAGAATTATCATTGCTGCTTCACAGCTATCAATTTGCTACTGTTACAAATTATAATTAAATATCTGTGTTTTCTGATGGTTTTAGGTGACCCCTGTGACAGGGCCATTTGACTCCCAAAGCGGCCATGACCCACAGGTTGAGAACCACTGTTCTACAGATATGGTAAGAATATTGTAACAGGTGAGAGAAAAGGATGGCGTGAAATACCAGCTCACTTCAGTAGTTGCCCACTATGTTTCCTTAGGCAAAAGAAAGATGGCTGGCAAGTGTCTGGCTAGTGGGAAATGATGTTTATGAACTTCAATCTCCACCCTTTCCCATACCTACAGAGAGAGACCACCCTGTGTCATGTCCTGCCCTATCTTGTGTAGGGTCACTTCAGAGCAGAAAGGAAGGGCTCCCATAAGCCCCTCTTGGAGAACTATCCCATTCCCCACCATCTGATTACCGAGACATCCTGAAGAATCTGGGGCTTCAACAGCCGGACACTTGTGATGTCATCCTGATTTTGCTTTGGGAACAGAAAGAAATGTTAGGGATCTGTATAGATCTGTATAGGGATCTGTAGAGAAGACAATCTTGCTGATACACTGTCCCCCCAACACCAAACACTGTCCCATCTGTGAGACTTTGGAGGCCAGAAGGGCCAGAGAAGGACTCAGGAGGAGATGTAATGAGCTAGTTCCTGGGGAGGAGGTACAGGTCCTGTCCACAGAAAACCACTAAGCTTACTCATCCCAAAGGGATGCATGGACCCCCAGGGGTCCTTAGAACCTTACCATAGACTTGAAAAGGGACCTTTGCTTCATATGAGACACAAGGATGATGGGAGATGTCATTCTGTAAATATATATATCTCTTATTGGTTAATGAATAAAGCCCTGTTGGCCAATAGGAAAGCAATATAGGCGGGACTAGGAGACAAAGAGGATTCTGGGAGATGTAGTAGGGAGAAGTCAAGATGTAGGGCATAAGAGAAGAGGTCTGGACCCTCTCTCCGGTAAGATAAGACCATGTGGAAACTCTTAGATTGATAGAAATGAGTTAATATTTAAGACAGAGCTAGCCAATAAGAAATGCTAGTAACAGGCCAACAGCTTAATATCGAACACAGAGTCTCTGTGTTATTTGGGGCTAATGTGGCTGTGGGACCAGGCTGGCAGAGAACTCTCATAACACAAGGAAATAAGCTGTGTTTGGCTTTAGGAGCCACAAAGGGTAAGGTTTGTCTCCACACCTAGGAGCTGTCTCTTGCTCTTAGAGCAACTCTCCAAAGCTCAGCCTCTCATCCTGCTCCTTAAACCTAGAGCTGGAGCCCACCCGGGATGAAGCCGGTCCACTCAGGGACCCCTTTACTTCCCCTGGGCTCTGCTCGTTTACTGGAGGCCGGCCACACATGGCTGAGCGTCAGTTTCCTCATGGATAACACAGGTGCATGAAGCCTCCTGACCTCATCAGGGTTCTGACATATGAAATTGATTCAGAGAGCTGGAAATGGATCCAGAGCCCCAAAAACATGCCCTCCCCCCACGGGGAAAGCACCAGGGAAGGATCCAGGGCAAGCGTCTACTCACCACCGTGCTCTTCGCGGCCCAGAAGGCCTCCCACAGTTCTGAGAGAACCACCCCTTCCACTCGGCAAGGTCCAAATCGGAGCTCATGACCCTGGAACCCTGGCATTTGGTTCCAGACAAGAAGGAGGAAGCTCAGGCAGGAGAGAGTCTGTTGCGCTGAGCTCATCGGTGCCGGAGAAAGGGCAGGTGTCTCTGCTAAAAAAAAAAAAAAGAAGGCGTTAGCCTGAAGCCAACCTCTGCCTCAGAGCTTCACACCCCCAAATAACATTCCAGGAGTTGATATAAGCCACCATTAGGAGCACACAAATGGGTTGCCTGGGGCTAGAGAAATGTCTCCAGCAAAACTCACATATGAATCCACTCCCTCCTGTGAGGTACATAAAGGCAGGGCCTTTTAAGAGGACACCACATCTTGAATGAATTCATGAATGTGTGGGTAACTGGTTGATGGGACACCAGGCACTGTCTGAGACTATGCAGAGTGTGCTCCAGGATTATCAACGGAAAAGACAACGGAGCAAACATCACCCCTGACATTAAACTCGCCAGAACGGTGACAAACATCTTTTCTTTATAAACTATTCAGTGTCTGATGATCTGATAGGACAGAACAGGTCCTAAGACCAGAGGGTTCCCAGGCAAGAATGCTGCCACTCTCCATCTCATAGCTGGCTGGCCTTGCTAGCTCTTTGTTCCCCATCACCATATTCATCCACCTCCACCCGCCTGCATCTCCTTCCGTCTCTACCACATCCCTCTTGGCGTCAACAGAAACGAGGCCAAGAGGGATGAAGAATTCAGCTAGGGGCACACCAAGAGATCCCAAACTCAGGAGGAGGGATAGTTCCCTTGGTCCTTTGATTTCTAGGACCTGCCTCTGAATCACCGGGGTGACTTGAGCAGATCTAGTCTCCTTCCAGGAGGCAAGCAGCCCTCGTATCTCAACACAAGGGAGCCCAGGGTCAACCAAGGCCCATAGGGACAGGCACAGAAGACAAGCCTGGGTCACACACTCCACTCTGCCATCTCAGTTGGCAGACACACTCCTAACTCTAAGAATTGATCTTTCCAGTAAGTGAAACCAGAGGGGGGGGGGGAGTGTGAGTTCCAGGTGAGTCATTTTCAAAACGCTTCTCTGAAGTGTCCGTGGGAATGAGTGTGACAGGCCCTCAAGCAGGAGTCAGCACCGTCCCGCCCCCCGCCCCCCATGACTACCACAGAAAAGTGTTTCCCAGGCCTCCCTTGCTCTTTGCTCTTCTTCTCTCTTTCCTCTTTACTCCCCTACCCCGCTTTCTACACCATACAAAAGCCTTCTTATTCACACACTCTCCTCACACCTGAAGAAACGGTCTTCCAACCCCAGGACAGCAGAGAAGGCAGAGGAACCAGCCTTGGAACGAACATGAACACCTAGGATAGGGAACGGATACCCAAGGCCACAGCCCATTGTCAAAAAATCTCCCCCTTCATCTTCCAAATTCTGTGGGCTTCCCAGCTTGTTTTGATGGTCATCTCTGGGGTCTGTTATCCCCGGCCTTCCGCTCATCCAATGCCAATTCTCCTTGGCCTTAAGTGGGAGTAAGCAACTCCTCCTTCAGTTATTGCCTTATATAAACATTAAAAATGTTTATAACGGTAAATGTTTAAGATGGCATATGCCAATCTGCCCTTAAGCCCACATTCCCAAACAAGGCTGCAACCTGAAACTTCGGAGCAAAGGCCATGGGAAGTCCTGGCACTCACCTCAGGTCCTGAAGTGATGCTGGAGGCTGCTATTGGAAAGTGGCTGGTTCTATCTGTGTCGGGAAAGGTTGGGCAAGCTCTCACGGCATTTATTGGTAGAGGGTATTCCTGTGGGCAGAAAGTTCCCGTCTCTGTGGTGGAAGCGATTTCAAAAGCAAGAGTGTGTGCAGGCAAGCGAGCCTTGGAGAGCTGTATATAAGGGGTCTGGTAGGGAGGGGCAGAGGGCAAAAGGAATGTGGAGGAAGGGAAATTGGTCATACTTCCTCAGAGAATTACTTCACCACCGAGTCACCCTTTGCTCTGTAGATGATGGAGAAATGCACAAGTCAGTCCCTCAGGTGAGATGAGACCTCACCTGCCCGGCTGATGGTCTATGCCCTCCCCCATTGTCTACGAGCAAATCCACTCTCTCTCGGTGCTTCTCTGAACTGCAGCTACTACATCTATAAAATCTTAGTTTTAAAGATTCAAAACTATGCCTGGTGCTACATCCCTGCCATCCCAGCACTTGGGATGTAGAGACAGGAGGATCAGAAGTTCAGGGTCATTCTTGGTTACATAGTCAGTTTAACTATTTGAGTTACATGAGCTCCAGTCAGATAGATAGATACATAGATAGATAGATAGATAGATACATAGATACATACATACATACATACATACATACATACATAGTTTGGTCTGCTTTTCCCAGAGAAAAGGTGTAAGGAGAAAGTATGAAAGTAATACAGAAGGGCTGGAGAGATGGCTCAGAGGTTAAAAGCACTGGCTGTTCTTCCAGAGGTCCTGAGTTCAATTCCCAGAAACTACATGGTGGCTCACAACCACCTGTAATAAGATCTGGTGCCCTCTTCTGGCCTCCAGGGATACATGCAGGCAGAGCACTATATACATATTAAATAAATTTTGGGGGGGGGGGAAAAAGTAATACAGAAAAACTCGATATACTCTCTACACATGTAAACATACCATGACTATGCAAAGTGTACCAGTCTGTTATACTGCATACTATCAAATTCATTCAGTAATTATGCTCTGTTCATGATGCAGTGACAGCCCAGAGACCAAGGCTAGCCCATAAATACCTTTTTTTAATCCTCAGGGTCAAGAATCTTAGGAGTTTCCCGATTTCCATCCACCCATAGTCTCTGGATTACAATTGTCCTGAGGATATTTCTCCTTAAGCACTGGGGAAAATAGTAATGTGTGCATGGACAGGCCCACAAATGTGGGGGACCCTGGTACCCTGATAAGCTAGTCTAGGCCTAGACTGTGAGACTGAGGCACAGGTGCAGGCAGGACGCCTGACCATGTCTCTGGCTAACAAGACCTGACATCGTTGAAGCCACGCGGAAAACATTCAGGACCAAGGAGTCTGAGTGAAAGGAGACAGAGCTAAAGTGCAGTCTCTCAGTGGGTGATTTTGTCCCCAGGCTTCTGTGGGCACTGCCTGGGGACATTTTTGGTTGTCCCGACTGCTGGGCATTAGAATTAGAGAATTCTGTCACCAAGACATCAGCAATGCTGTCCTGTGTATCTCTGTAGAGGCCAGATTCCACACTCGGAAAAGAAACGCTACTGGAATTCCGTCCCTCTCCAAGTCCCTCTGAACAGACAGAGAAGGAGAAAAGGACACTCCGCCCTGTGGAGCTGAGCTCCTCTCTGCTTCAGGAGGCGATAGAAAGTTCACTAACCCAGAACTGCCCCTTCCCAGAGGGTGGAAAAAAATGCTTAGCAAGAGAGAAGTAATGAACATGTTAATTAGAATTTCTTGAAAGCCAAAAGATAGTTGAGAGCTATGACATCACTTTTTTTCCAATGAATTGAGCTTAATCTTTATTTTAAGACAGATGTCTGTCTCGCCACTTATGGGAAACCCATGCCATGGCATTCTATGAGTTCTCGCTGTGTCTGCAGGACCATGGAGAGAGGGCCAGTCTTCTGGATTTTAGTTCAGCCCTCCCCTCTTCTCTCCACACCCTTCTAAATAGAGTTTCACCAAGTTCCCCAAACTGGCCTTAAACTCTTAATGTTTTGGCCTCAGGTTCCCAAATGCTGGGATTACTACGATACAGTTATATGTTCAGGAAAAAAAGTGAATCTACAGAGGCCTAGCAATTTTGCTACAACTTCATAACTGTGATTTTGATACTGTTTTTGTGGTTGTTGTTGTTGTTGTTGTAATTGTTTTTAGTTTTTAGTTGAGACAGGGTTTCTCTGTGTAGCTTTGGAACCTGTCCTGGAACTGGCTCTGTAGACCAGGTTGGCCTCGAACTTAAGGAAGATCTGCCTGCCTCTGCCTCAGAGTGCTGGGATTAAAGGCGTGTGCCACCACTGCCTGGCTTTTGCTACTGCTTTGACTCATAGTGTAAATGTCTGCTATGCAGATGGTCTTAGGTGATTCCTGTGAAAGGACTGTTTGATCCCCAAAGGGATCTCCATTGAGAATTACTGTTGTTACTGCATAGTGATGATTGCACAACTCTAAATACATTTTTAAAGCTATCAAGCCCTACACTATAACAGGTGACCACAGGAGTCACCTCCAAGATTGCTTTTTCTGAATAGGAAAGAAGGGGTTGGGGGAAGAGGAGGCTTTGATGGAAATGAGATGTAGCTCATTCTCATAGTCACTAGAGTCCATCCAGAAATGCCTGCCTCTCTTTTCCTTGCATCCTATCCATTCTCCCCAACTACGAGTTACTTTTTAGACTCAAAGAAAACAATGCTTTCCTTTCCCATGCATCACTAATGCCATCCTTCAACCCTGAATTTTACCCACCACAGAATTCCCTTCTGGTACAGGACAGGAATTTAGTCAACACTGTTGGAGAAGGGAATGCCCTATGACTGATGTGATATCATTACTTCTCTTCTCCGCCACACAACTCTTAAAATCCCTGAAATGACAAATGTCTTTTTTATGCTGCTAAGACAGGCTTTAGGGTGGACTCTGCTTTGCTGTGGAACCGTCTGGGTCATTAGAGAAGTAAAGTTCAGGCCCCTGCCCTATGCATGCACCTCCAGGTAGGAAGAGCGGCTGACAATTGAGTTCCTCACGGAGGGACTCAGAGTTAGGCTGACTCCCTGGTAGGTAGACAGATAGAGAGAGAAGCAAGGACTTGGTAATAAACATGGCGAACTTCCAAGATGGCTGGCTTCGTCCTCACTTCCCTGATAGTTTCAAGGACTGGCTCACCAAGTTCAAGGCCCGATCAAAATATGTTTACACAACAGCTGTAAGCCAATCAGCCGTCTGTCTTTGTTCAAATTGACCAACTCTAAATTAAGGAAAACTCTGAGGCTATTACAACCCCAGCCCTGGAGAAGGGGCTGCCTCTTTCCCTCCCGAAGTCCTCCATCTGCTTCACGGAGGGTCGTTTCCTCTGTACGTCTGCTGGATGCCTGTGTTGCTTCCTCGCCCTG